TTTTTTTGGTAAATCGTGTATTTTGGATTTTACATTTAGATACAAATTACTGAGTAATGAAATATGCATAATATTTTTCGATCTTACCGACCTAATAATAAGAAAATATGAACTGATGTTTTTCACAAAAGAAAGAACTTTAAAAAAAAAGGGAAAAAAAAAAAAAAAAATCGAAAAATAAAAATACAAAAAATAAAGAAAGCAATGATCTGGAATAAAAAAAAAGTAAAAAAATAAATGTGTAAATGATCGTGATACGAACCACGGCCGTCTGTTTTGGGGCCGCCCGATTACTGACCGAGCTATTATGACATTTTCTCTTGCGGCGAAATTTACCGTCATATTCGAATTATATTTTTCATTCCCTGAAAACAGGGATAAAAGGGCATTTTCTAAAAATGAAACCTAGCTAGATCGATTTTTCGCCCCCGAATCTACGCACATACTAAATTTCATGAAAATCGCTGGAGCCGTTTCCGAGATTCCGATTATATATATATACAAGAATTGCTCGTTTAAAGGATAAGATTACATGAAAAAGAGATCTGTGAGTTCCATAAGATTTTAACAGATGGCGGTATAAGGTAAATTTATCGGCTGAATTGAGTAAGTATCCAATAAATGGCGGGACCCGGTACATTTGGCGCAACCGAAGGTGCGCGGGCCAGTTAGTTATCTATAAAAACGGCAAAAAAAATCATGCCTATTTTGCGTGAGCCCCGCATAAATATTTTTTAATTCTGTTTTTTAGTATTCGTCGTTACAGCGGCAACAGAAATACATCATCTGTGAAAATTCTGCAGTATACAGTCTGGTGAAAGACGGACAGACAGACATAGAGACAGATGTTCTCCAACTTGTCACCTCTCCCAGTTAAGAAGACACATCGGGGACTTTGTCAAAATATTTCCTGCACTTTCTTATAATGTGCCGGAAATCTACTGACGTATTCATTTAATGGGAGCAAGATTAGATATTGGCTACCAAAGATATTATATACAAGTACGAGGTAGATATGACACTAGTGCACCTTAACCGAGACTCACGCACGGTTTCTGAAACAGTGATCATCGTAAAAGTTAACTGATCAGCTGTCAAATGGCTTTTCAAATGTTATTTGAGCTCCCAAAAGGATTCTTAAACTTTCCGAATTGATCAGAATGACCTGATCATGATCTGTTTTTGACGCCCAGTTTTTTTTTTCAGTGTTTCAGAAACCAGGCGTCAGTGTTTAAGAAACGGGGCGTCAAAGTACACCAATTTATGTAATTAGATTCTATAGACTGCTATCTCTTTCCGGATCATACATTCTATATCATCTGTCACGTTCACTTACATTATGTCATATAATGTAAAGCGGAACAACTTTTAAACGCCGCGCAGTATGGACATGCGTCATCTATGTTATTGAAAATCATTGTTAGCTATTGATCATGAGAGACCATGTCATGCGAAACGATAAACAATGCACATTATACAGCGTGTCGTTACCACCGCGACAATAAATGAACACACATATAGAGGATAAATTTTTAAAATTGTATTGCATTTACATTGTTTGTACGGTGGTAGGGCCACACAGCAGCCTCGGCTGTTGCACGAATGGGCAGGCCCGTCCGGGTAAGTACCACGACCTCACAGAAGACCGGCGTAAAGTGGAAGTATGAAAAATACTTTGGCGTTTCGTCTGGTGAGTGAGGTAGCCGGAGCCCAATTTTCAAAAGGTTGTCAACGCATCTGTAACCCTCGGGTGTGGCAGATGTACATGGGCGGCGGTATTCACTTAACATCAGGTGAACCGTCTGCTCGTTTGACAACTTTTCGCATAAAAAAAAAAACATTCTTCAAACATCAATATTTACAGTTATTAAATTTTCCAAAACAAACAATTTTAGAACACCTTTATGTATAAAACTGTAACGTAAAGTTCATTTGTAAAGGTCACAAAGCATATGAATGGGTTGAATGACAAAGAGAAGAGACAAAACATACTGTTAGAAGGAGAGGCTTGTAATACGACGCTGTGGCGCGAGTTGTATAGGATGTTACAAATTTTGTTTCTTTTTTACTTAATTAGTTTGTTTGAAAAAATTTTTTTTTAATTATGTATTTTGTTTAACGTTAATTTTTTTTATGATTATTGGCAAGTAGTGTTAGACGTGTGTAGGGGTAATAAAGATAATTTATTTATAACAAGTAGCGTTCGGTTTCAGAAAGGTTTTTTCTTCATGTTCACATATACAGGAAGGATTTTCTAAGTGTATCCATTTTTTTAAAAGTATTTTTTTTTTAATTTTCAATTAAATTCTAGACATGAATAATGTTCTACAAAAAGAATATTTAAAATCACTCTTAATTAATTCATTACATTCATTTGAACTTATCTCAAAAAGTGCGTGAATTATGGGCAACTCATTTTTTTACGTGCGATCATTCATAACTAACACGCACACAAGTTCGTTTCAAAAGTATACGACGCATTTATGAATGACTACCACATTGTCAACAAGTTCTGTTTTTTAGGGAATAAGAATTGCAATTTTTTAAAAAAAAAAAAACAGTTTGTTTTTTTCAATAAACGAGTATACTATTTTGAACCTCCTGTGTGAATTTGGGCACCTTTAGAAAAGCCATCCTGTATGCCACCATAACAAGGTGAATGTTAGTGTATTGTGGCAAATGAGAATTGGTAATCCATGCCTATGTTCTAGGTGATGAGTATGCATTTCTGACAGTACATATGCTAGACATATAAAAACAACCGGCCAAGTGCGAGACTCGCGCACGAAGGGTAACATACCATTATCTATAAAAACAACAAAAAAAAGTCATGTCTGTTGTATGGGAGCCTCACTTAAATATTTTTTTTTGTTTACTTAGGTATTTGTTGTTATAGCAGCCACAGAAATATATCAACTGTGAAAATTTCAAGTGTCTAAATATATACAGAGAGATGGACAGACAGACAGACAGACATGCAGACAGATGGACAGACAGAAAGATGGGCCATCTTATATTTTTACTATACTTTATAAACCAATGCAAATATTATCACTTTCAATAATTATTACAAGGTTAAAGTTATTCAAGACATACCAGCTGCAAAAACTGTTTGTACAAATGAATTAAATTGTGAAAAACACATTACACCCTTGTGGCTGTATGAATTGTAAATAAAACTGTTTAACCGATTTAGCAAGGTTTCAGCATTCGTAGAAACTATGATACTTCTCCTAGCAAGCTTGGCCATATGTGCAAGAGAAGACGCTGCTATGAGGTGCTACTGTTAAAAATATTACATGCAGTTAAAAAATTAAATAAGCTATCTGTCTGCGTCATAAGTGAAAGTATGAGAGACCTTGTATTTATTTTTATTCCTACACCATTATGAGTTTTGCTAAATATGATGTAACATCAATCACAAGTTATTACGAGATCATAATACAGTCACAATCCTTGAGCAATTACGGCATCAGGAGTGTCAATAATTTAATTTGAACAAAAAAGAAATTTGAATTAAGACGTAAAATCCCTAAAAGACACATCTTTAATAAGTAAATATAAAATTTCTTATTAAGATTTCTCCGGAGAAATTTAATCTGTTTCAAATTTATAATCAGCTGCCAAAAACACTATGAATGTTAAGAACAGATTACTTGGCTGTTAAAAGGATATAAATGGATACAGTATATTGCTTTGAAATTTAGTAAATCATATAGACACTGACATATTTGAAGTTTTATAATAGGTGCTAAGTATGAACATGTTATTAGCAATAAAGCATGGAATCTGTAAGTACTTATTGGAATATATTTAGAGTATATTTTCTTTTCTGAGCCTAAGGGACACATTTTGACAATCTTTAGTGTGTACAAAATTATCAAAGATCTCAACTCAAATGCAAATACAAAGACAAGTTTTGTAATATGAACTTGACATTAAAATGTGACCTTGAATATATAATGTAGCAGTGTAGTAAAAATATATATGCAAAACCAAAAAAAACTGTGTTTCTTTTGGCAGCTCTGTTATTGAAATAGATTACATGAATAATAATAAAATCAAGAAATTTGTTATACAATATTCTATAATTCAGTAAACACAATTTTGGATTTGAGTATGTTATAAATTTAAAATAATAACTTATGGCATCCAATTTAAATGAATTGATGTTACAATTAATTCTTATATACTATGTTATAAAGAAAGTAATAAAAGTAAGTACAGACAATTGTTGATACTTCTATTATATCTATCTTGCATAGCAATTATTATCGTCGAAAGGGATTTCCTCGATAATCCTCGTAAATCAAAATCAATTGTGGAATACTCAGGCTTATAATTTCATTGTCGTTATTGAAAATATCATACAAAAATTGGCGCGAATTAAAACTATTGCATAGAACACCAAGAAATAATGATACTTACATTTTATTATTATCTCCTATGTTTCTAAACAAAATTACTGCAAAGCAACATTTACACACAGTTTGGCACTTTTGATTACATTAAACCACATTAGTCTGAAGAGGACAATGGACATTTTAACAATCGAATTGTTAAAACATGACGTAAGCGCGAGAGCGAGAACTTATTATTGGCGGAGTATTTATGAAATTCTTTTAGAATTTACACATGCACATTTTTAAAACTCATGAAAACAAAATATTAAAATAAATCAAAATACACTTAAGTACACTTTTGTTTGACTTCTCTTCGATGTCGCTCCTTGATAAATTACACAGATTAAATATACAATACATAGATAAGACATATATACTGAAATATGAAATATGCAAAGATGCAATAATGACTAATGAGTAAGAGTATATTGTTGTTTTCTTTTTGAAGCGTAGTTGCTAATAGCCGGGCTTTGATTTTGGCAACTTCGTCGGGAGAAAGAGGTCTGTACGAAGCAATCTTGAGTATGGAGTTATTGTTCGGGATCCCTGCGACAGTGAGTACTCTCTCAAAGTAGAGAGAGTACAGCGATTTGCGAAATGGGTGGAACTTTGGAACTCAGACGAAAAGTAAGTCTATAATTACAGTATTACATGCTATAGTATTCTTCCTATAAAAGTGGACAAACGAACAGCTTTCACGGTGGTAGGGCCACGCAGCAGCGTCGGCTGTTGCACGAATGGGCAGGCCCGTTCGGGTAAGTACCACGACCTCACAGAAGACCAGTGAAAAGTGGAAGTATGACAAATACTTTCGCGTTTCGTCTGGTGAGTGACGTAGCTGGAGCCCAATTTTCAAAAGGTTGTCAAAGGCATCTGTAACCCTCGGGTGTAGCAGATGCATATGGGCGGTGGTATTCATTTACCATCAGGTAAAACGTCTGCTCGCTTGGCAAGTTTTCGCATAAAAATCGCATGGTCATGAAGTCATAAGAGACATTTTTTTATATAAATAATATTCCTACAATTTTTGTTTAAACACTTATTATAAGAACAAAAATTTTGCTGCAATACACTTCACTGTATTACCCTTACCATGTGAAAATAAAGGCAAAGATCTTTGCACACCTTATTATTTGTACTTTATAAATAATATTATTTTATTATAGGGATTTAAGGGTTTTTTTTTTGCTTAAAATTTAGGGACAAATATTTTTTTCGAGAGTTGGTAACACTGCTACACTTAAAAGTTAAAACTGGGTATTTATATTTACGTACTCTTTGATATTTATTTTATTAGTTTATTATTTAATATTATTCATTTCATAAGGTGTTAGAGGTGATTGAGGTAAATAAAAGGAGATTTATCTCTAATTGTGTTTTGTATAAAGAACAAATGTTTTTTGTATATAAAGTTATATTAAAATCAAATGTTTACAAACAAAGTTTACCGACTAAATAATTCAGTTTTGATAGATTTACTTTACAATAATCATTTGATCATAGGGCATTATGAGTGAAGACAGGCTGTCAACACTAGTTTCAATTAAATGCAAGCAGCAAACTATTCGAGCGGTGCGATTCAATATAGACGGCACTTACTGCCTAACCTGTGGTGCGGACAAAAAAATTAAACTATGGAATCCGCACAGAGAGCTACTTCTAAAAACTTACGGTGGGCATGCCAACGAAGTACTCGACGCGGCGGGCTCATGCGACAGTAGCCATATAGTCTCGTGTAGTTCAGATAAATCAGTGATTTTGTGGGATGTAACCACCGGTCAGCCTGTAAGGAGGTACCGAGGCCATGCCAGTTCAGTTACATGTGTAAAGTTCAATGAGGAATCGACTATGGCCGTTTCAGGATCTGTGGATAACACAGTCGCATTCTGGGATGTAGTCAGCAGGAGACAAGAGCCTGTACAGGTTTTAAAAGACGCCAAGGATACAATAACAGCATTACAAGTCACCGATCACGAAGTTATGACCTGCTCTGTGGACTGTCACGTCCGCTTATACGATATACGCGTTGGGAAAATGATTTCCGATTATATCGGACAAATTGTCACATTTGGAAGCATAACACATGATGGACAATGTTACGTCCTGAGTTGTGCTGATAGTACTGTCAAGCTATTTGATAAGGACTCAGGGGAGTTGCTAAATACATTTTCAGGGCATGAGAGCAGAGATTACCTTTTAGAGAATGCAGTAAATGAAAAAGACAGTCATATAATATCAGGGTCAGCGACCGGAGAGATTTTATATTGGGATCTCATAAGCAGTAAATGTACTGAAAAATTAGTACACTCCAACCGCAAACCCGTTGTGTCGATAAGCCATCATCCAACGGAGAACTATTTACTAAGTGCATGTGAAGATGAAATAAATTTGTGGGGTACAAAGCCCATGGAAGAATAAAAGTTTGTTTAATTTGTTACAAGTCACTGTGCAATCTCTGTTTTTAAAAACATTATCTTAAAAGGCTATTAGTCAATTTGGAGACAAGTTATGAAAATTACCATCTGACTAAAACAGATAAGGAACCTCATTCTTATTATTCACAATTAAAAACCTTTTTTTTAATATGAGTTCATTTTTACTACTGGGAGGAATTCCAATGGCAATAATTTGTAAGAAAAGTGAGAGAGCTTAGTTATTTCAAAATGGACACAATTTATCCCCAAAACCATAAATTACAATAAACTGTTTTCAGATTATTCAATCTCAATGCAATTTAGTTAACTTGACAACTAAATTGCTTTGAGTCAGTCTTACATCTAGGTATTTGTTTATAACTATGTCTTGATAACATATCACATTATAAAAATATATTATGGCACTTTGTATTGTGTCCATCTAGATTGTTTTATACTATTGTGGGCTGTTTGCCTTTATGTATAAGAATAACAAGTTATAACAATTTACCATTAAATATGGAAAGTCTTGTCTATTGATTAATTAATTTTATTTTCATTATGTTGAAGGGCATATGTATATTACCATGCTTACTAATGATCAATATGGAATTATATGTTGATTGTTGAAGCATTGTCTTTGTTATTCTAGTTTATTACCTGGAATATCGGTTGTCTCATGCGCCTGTGTCACGTGTCAATCGCGTTTCGGCAGTCGAGTGGTGCGATAGTATGCGTGTTGTGGTGCCACCAATAAGCAAGACAAATCATGTGGCGATGAGGACAAAAGTGCGTATGCAATAATAATAATCAAGTTGCCTGAATTATTATCGACCAGTAGTTTTAAATGTTAGTTAACGGTACCAATACAGTTCTTCAAAGGACCACAAAATATCCTTTGCTGGTCTCTATTTCAATGAAAGACAGACAGTTTAGGATTACCTAATGATTGTATTTTATTGAATATTTTACCAACATTTTGCTAGTATTACTATATTAGTACCTGGAGCACCGAGCTTCGCTCGGTGGTTTTTTGTAAAATATGTATTATGGAAATAAAAAATAAAGAAAATGATCTGGTATAGAAAAAAAAGGCAAAAAAAAGTGTGTAAATGATCGTGATACGAACCACGGCCGTCGGTTTTGGGGCCGCCCGATTAACGGCCGAGCTATTATAACATTTTGATGGGATAAAAGGACATTTTCTGAAAATGAAACCTAGTTTTTCGCCCCCGAATCTACGCGCATACTAAATTTCATGAAAACCGATGGAGCCGTTTCAGAGATTCCGATTATATATACATATATACACAAGAATTGCTCGTTTAAAGGATAAGATATGGACAATAACAACAATACTTACTTATTTCAAGTGTATACTTAATCATGGTTTTGGTTTAAGGTAACAATAAATAAACCTTGCGATCTTGGCTAGGTCGTCCGTCCACCTTGTGGGAGGCCTTCCTACGCTGCGTTTGCCGTCAGGGACGCGTTGGATGCAGGCCGCTAACGACCGGTCGAAGTGGAAGTCAATGGGGGAGGCCTATGTTCAGCAGTGGACGTCCTACGGCTGATATGATGATGATGATGATGAAATAAACCTTCATATATCATTTGGAAAACAATTATGTATCTATATTTAAGTAGTTATGTAATGTTTCTTATCTATCGCTTTGTAATCCATAGTGTTTAATGGCAATATTAGGATTTAATTCTTCTCTCGTGTATTTATTTATATATATATATATATATATATATATTACATATTTATTTATGTTTATGTGTGTTTATTATAATTTTGTTTATTTTATTATATTTAAGTCTATTTTGGTATTAAGTAAGTTTATTGAGCACACCACCTCCCACTATTCATTACTTTATTTTTCCTCGTCCTAAGGTTGTCTGGAAGAGATCGCTTTTAAGAGATAAGACCACCTTTTTGTACCTAGCTTTTAAGACTTATTTTATACTAATTGTATCAAGTTTTCTGTGGTGTACAATAAATTATATAATAATAATAATATATCTGTCGGTGACAGCGATAGGTTAGCGATATGCCCGTCTTCGGTAGGAGCTTCTGGTGCAGGGTTCATGGCGTAGGTCTCAGGCAATTAAACCACAAAGATATAGTAGGATATATCTTGTATTCTATGAAGATAATGAATATAGTACAGTTCCAAAGTGAACCGGTCCCGTTTGGAAGGACCGAACTGTATCGCGCTCACTAATCAACTCAGTTACTCCGTCAATACCATAGATAAGACATATATACTGAAATAATCAATCAATACTGACGTCAGGCTCACCGCTCGCTCATATTTAAAATGTAACAGTTGCTCCCTACAAACGATTCCGGTTACGTGACTCGATTCGTCACGGTGTTCACTCCTCACCGTTACAACAATATCAATTGAGTTAGGTACTAATTATTGTTAAATTATCGTAATCGACGACATATCTATATTTTTAGTTTTATTTATAAACCCAACCAGACGAGAAAACAAATGAATTTCCCCCCAATAATAATAGGCTATAATTTTTTAATGAATTTTTTGTCTTTCTGTATGAATGTTACGCCTTCAGCCTATTTTACGCAGACATAGTCGCGGGTAGCAGCTAGTGTATTTCGGGACTTCTCGAGCTTAGTGGCTCATAAACAAAGTTCATGCTAGGTGCCTCGGCGCCTTACACCTCAAACCTGGTGGAATTATAAAGGCCTCCCGCTTCCTAGAGGCCAACATTGGACGATCCTATTTAAAACAACCGGCCGATACAGTTCGAGCCCAAGACGAGTCAAGAAAACATCAAGAAAGAAAAGAAGAAAACAGCAAGAAATTCTAAAGAAATATTTATTTTAAGTTAGTCATAGTCATAAACGGTGGTAAACGCAACCCTGTTGCACGAATGGGCAGGTCCGTCCGGGTAAGTACCACGACCTCGCAGAAGACCGGCGTAAAGAAGTGTTATACTTCTGCGTTTCATCTAATGAGTGAGGTAGCCGGGGCGCAATTTATTTAAAGGTGGCAACGCATTTGTAACCCTAAGGGTGTTGCAAATGTCCATGGGCGGTGGTAATCACTTAACAGGTCAACCGCCAGCTTGTTTTCCACTTTCTCACATAAAAAAAAAGTCAGTGTCCGGTTTTTTCCCATTGTTTTTTTGTTATTGTTTTGAAGTAACAGATTAAATTAAATGAAACTAATTTTACGGATTTATCGCGTTTATTTTAATTTTTTATTCCCGACGTTTCGAACCCTTTACAGCGTTCATGGTCACGGGACAGACTGACGGGAATTAAAATAAACGCGATAAATCCGTAAAATTAGTTTCATTTATAATGTGTAATCGCGTAAATACAAGAAATTATTAGAATAAATTAAAATAGTCCGATTTGTCGTATCATCATAAATATGCCGTACTCGCCAGCAACAATTGGTGAATTATTTGATGTCTATTCGGGTGAAAGGTGAGGTTCTTTTGAGAATCACCTGAACGAACGTCGCAGGTAGACTCTTTTGAGAGCCGTCATTGCTTACCATACACAACATCACCCGACTACACTACGCTTGCTAGAAATCTATAATTAAATATTAAAATAACAACAGATATACTTTTCATTAAACTAGGGTAAAATTATAAAGATAATAATTATGGCAGCCCAAATTCTATGACTTTGAATTTAAGTATAAAACAATCAAGGTTGTTTTATACTTATTTTATTAATATTAAAAAAAATAAGTAATCCGGATAATCCTTACTAATATTATAACCGCGAAAATTTGCAAAAACCACTAAATAGATTTTAATTAAACTACAATACTCTTAATAACCTACTTATACATATACATGACATCCATACTTAATATTATAAATGCGAAATTAGCTCTGTCTATCTCGCTTTCACGCCAAAACTACTGCACCGATTTAAATGAAATACACAGATAATCTAGAGCCTGAGAAAGGACATGGATATATATATATATATATATATATATATATATATATATATATACAAAATTCTCGTCCGGGATAACGGGCTTAAAGTGATTTTTGGGTATTTTAATAACGAGAGAAAGTGATCACGTACGCCAGCCGCCATTACGTGTTACAAAGGAAGCGTATTAATTGTCACTAAAATAACGACGATAATATTTACGACGGTTAAAGATGATGGAGAGCAATAACGACGATGGTAAATATAATCCATTCTTCCTGATGGATTCCCTACCTAAGTTTAGGGGGGATGATATGACGTATTCCTCTGCAAAATGGACGCAGGATATTGAAGACAACACAGATATTTTCGGATGGAACCAACTACAACGGCTAATTATCGCGCGGAGGTGTTTGGCTGGTACTGCACAATTATGGCTGAAGACGGAAAAAGCATTTAAAACTTATGATGAATTTAGAACGGCTCTGATGAAGGAGTTTTCTGATACTATAAATTCCAAACAAATGCATGAAATGATGAGTAATCGGAAAAAGCAGGCTAATGAAACGGTTTATCAATACATGCTTGTCATGAAAGAATTGGGAAAAAGGGCTAAGTTTGCAGACTACGTCACCATACAGTATATAGTCGATGGCATAAACGACTACGAATCAAACAAATTATTATTCTATGGTGTTACATCCTATTCAGTGCTCAAGGAGAAAATAGCATTGTATGAAAGTTACAAACAGAAAACCAAGAAGAGTACTATAAGCAAAAGAGAAGTAACAGTAATGAAGCCGATGGCACAACGGGAAACTGGAGGACAGACATTCCAACGTTGTTACAAGTGCGGTGAGAAAGGGCATCTGTCGAGTTCCTGTCAAAGAGGTGTAAAATGTTTTAGGTGTAATGAGTTCGGTCACATAGGCGCAGAATGTAAGAAAACGGAACCTGTAATAACACAAATGCATGCAAAGCGGGATCGACGATCGATGTTCATTCAATATCCCACGCTGACATCAGAGGGCGCTAGTTTCGCTAACGTGGGCGTGAATGAAGAAGGTGAACGTGAACGAAATGTAATGAGTTGCGATCCGAAGGAAAGAGCGAGTGCCTGCTTATCAAATGTTTGTGACAGTAAGGGGATTCAGTGTCAACTTCAAAAACGTCAGTCTGTATTTAATGTAGATAAAGGTGATGCGATAGTTAATAGAAGCATAAAAAATGTAAAAATAGGTAATTTCGTGACGAACTGTTTAATTGATACGGGTAGTGATTTAAACTTAATAACTTTAAATTTCTTTTCTAAATTAAATATTGGATATACACCTGTCAGAATGTTGCTTACCGGTTTGGGTTGTTCACAAGTATTTTCAATCGGTAAATTCGACACGGAATTAATTATCGACGATCACCATTACAATATTAATTTTTATATTGTACCAACTAATGTAATGCCACATGATGTAATATTAGGTCAACCATTCTTAGTAAATACTGTTACGGTTATAGACAAAAGTGCCCTTGAAATTAGGCCTCCATGTTACGATAGTTTATATCAAAATGCTATATGTCTTTTTTCCAGTAATGATGACCAATGTAGTGCGGTAAAAGATATTATAAATGATTACGTACCTTTGAAGACCAAAGATGCACCCATTAGGCTGAAAATTGTTCTAAAAGATGATATTCCAGTTACACAACGGCCTAGAAGATTAGCTTTAACCGAAGAACTATTAGTGAAGCAGCAAGTTGATGATTGGTTGAAGATGGGCATCATTCGTCCTAGTTATTCTGAGTATGCAAGTCCCTTAGTATTGACAAAGAAAAAAGATGGCAGTGTACGAGTTTGCGTAGATTATCGATAGATAAATCAGAAAATGGTGAAAGACGAACAACCATTACCTGTAATCGACGACCTTATTGACAAATTGAGTAGAGTGAATGTGTATAGCACGCTCAATTTAAAAAATGGCTTTTTCCACTTACCAATTGAAGAAGAGTCGGTGAAGTATACATCATTTGTAACGAGTAACCCTGAAGGCCAGTATGAATTTTTAAGAGCACCGTTTGGTCTTTCTATCTGTCCTAAATACTTTACAAGATCCATTAACATCATATTTTCGGATTTTACAAGAACTGGAGTGGTTTTGATATTTATTGACGATATAATTATACTTTCAAAAGTAGAAAAAGAGGGAATTGAACGACTTAAAGCTTTGCTGAAGGTGGCAGCGGAGTATGGGCTCGAAATAAATTGGAAGAAGTCACAAATACTACAAAGATCTGTTGAATTCTTAGGCTACCATATTTCCAAAGGAACGATAAGACCATCTAGTGAGAAAACAAAGGCTGTTATGACCTTTCCAGTGCCTAAAAATTTGAAAGAACTGCACAGCTTCATAGGATTAACTTCGTACTTCAGGAAGTTTATTCAAAATTATGCTTTAATAGCGAAGCCATTAAGTGATTTATTGAAAAAAGGTGAGTTTAAGTTTGAGGATGTTCAAAGACAAGCTTTTGACGAATTAAAGTCAAAATTATGTTGTGAACCAGTGTTGAAAATATTTGATGTTCATTTGGAAACTGAATAACATACGGATGCTTCTATGCATGGATATGCAGCTATTTTAATGCAACGAGACCCTAATGATGGTTGTCAACATCCTGTTCACTACATGAGCAGAAAGACTACAGAAGTTCAACAAAAGTGTTGCAGTTACGAGTTAGAAGCTTTAGCTGTTATTGAAGCCGTGAAGAAATTCAGAAGATATCTTATAGGAATACCCTTTAAAATTGTCACTGATTGTGAAGCCTTTCAAAAAAACCTTGAACAAAAAGGATGCATCTGCAAAAGTAGCACGATGGATACTATACTTACAGGATTTTCAGTATTCTATAGAACATAGAACAGGAGACAAGATGCAACATGTTGACGCATTGAGCAGAAACATTTGTTTTGTGGATGTTGAGTTACATGCGAGAATAAAGAAGGCACAAGAAGAAGAACCCTTCAGGTTAAACATTATCAGAAAACTATTAGAAAAGAATGGATATGAAGATTATTTTTTAGAGAATGATGTTATCTATAAAGGACCGGAGAAGAAATTGGTATTACCTGATATGATGGATATGGAATTGATAAAAAAAAGCCCATGGGATTGGACATTTCGGGAAGAAGAAGATTAAGGATAAAATAGAAAAAGATTATTACATTACAAAACTGGACAGTAAAATCGATAAGATTGTTTCTACCTGTGTACCCTGTTTATTAGCGAGTAGAAAGTCTGGTAAGAAAGAAGGCTTTTTAAATCCAATCGATAAAGGAGAATTACCACTGGATACTTTACATTGTGATCATTTAGGGCCATTAGATGCAACTAAGAAAATGTATAACTACATACTTACTGTAATTGATGGATATACAAAGTTCGTCTGGATTTATCCTGTTAAGACTGTGACAGCAAAGGAAACCGTAGAAAAGTTAAAGTTGCACCAGAAAGATTATGGTAACCCACGGAGAATCATTACTGACCGAGGAGTAGCTTTTACAGGGAATGAATTTCAAGAGTACTGTCAAGAGGAAGGCATTAAACATATCACTATTGCCACTGGAATACCACGCGGAAATGGTCAAGTTGAAAGGGTGAACAGAGTTATTAGTTCTACTTTAACAAAGATGTGTATAGAAGAACCAGGCCATTGGTATAAGCATGTGAGTAAGCTTCAAAGAGTCATTAATAGCACATATCAACGATCAATTAACTCAACACCTTTTGAATTGTTAACGGGAGTGAAACTTAAGCTGAAAGAAGATTTATCTATTATGGAATACTTAGAAGAGGCAAGCAGAATCGAATTTATGAGTAGAAGAGATGAAACAAGAAGAGAGGCTAAGGCACAAATATTAAAGATCCAAGAAGAGAATAGAAAGACATATAACAAAAGACGTAAAGAAGGAGAGAAGTACAAGCAAGGTGATCTAGTTGCTATACAACGTGTACAGTTTGGAACTGCGTTAAAATTAAAACCAAAATTCTACAGACCATATCGAATCACAAAGGAGTTGGGAAGGGGTAGGTATGAGGTAGAGAAAATAGACAGAGGTAAAGAAGGGCCGATAAGAACTACATCAGCTTCAGATTATATGAAGCGATGGCCTTGATACAAATTGTTTTTTTTTTGACCGATTAAGTAATTGTTTTTGTAATTTTGTATTTGTTAAACATCTACTAAAACTGCCTAAACTACCTGTGGTTGTAAAGGAATAAGCTAATTAGTGTTGTTATTTTTTTGTTGTATGTTTAAACACTTATGTCTATGAAGAAGGAAAAAAAAATGTTAAGTACTTAGTATAACTATGGTAAAGTAGCTTCAGTCTGAGGCCAGACTGATTTGCAGAATGGCCGAGTTGTAGGATTAATTATTTAATAGTTGAGTAAAAGATGATTTTTGAACGAAGTATTGTGTGAATGAGAAGGATGGATGACGTAAAAGGGATTGAGGGACTTTTCGCAACGACGCCACGAACGAGTAACGTGTATCTGTGTCTTAAAATGTATTAATTTAAATAAAGATGAAAATAGTAACAATATACTCAAAATAAAGATTTTATTTATCCTACGCCTATATATATGTATAATCGGAATCTCGGAAACGGCTCCAGCGATTTTCATGAAATTTAGTCTGAAACACCAAACTGTATCGCTAACTAAAAATACAAACTGTCCAATTTTTTTAAAGAAACGACGATAAGATACTTCAAAAGAATACATAGATTCTTTTGAAGTATCTTATCGTCGTGAATGCAACCGTCCATGAGCACTCTTTGTTTACCACCGAGGTGGTAACCTCGAGTAATGTAAATGATGTAAGCGTCATGGACACGACAATTTTTTTTATAAAGATTAACGTGGCCCTGTTTTTTATTAACTTTAAAAATGCTTTCTTTGAATCCTTTTTTATCTCAACTTTGATAAGGATAGGTAAACTTGATTTCAGTTTTTTCCTTATCGCTTTTAATTCAATGTAATCTTTATATTTTAAGTATTCAGAGTAGAATCTGTACCCATGGTTACAAATTCAAAAAAAAAACATTGTTGTGTCAGACTTCAGCGTCAAATTAATTTTGTGGTAGAACTCGTAAGTGAAAAGATATCGATATATGATTTATATAAATATCAATCTCCGATATATCGAAAGGAAAATATCGATATATCGGGTATAGTCGCTAGAAACCTTTGTCCAAAAAATTTACTAAATAATGGACACATATCGGCTGAAAATATCGATATTTATAATCTTCAACATCGTCGAGAAATCCAAAGACGTGAAAGTTAAACTAGTGATGTCGAAAGTGAAGAAATATAAGGATATCTAAAAAAATATTAATATTGGCCTCGAAATGCCGAAGAGAAAATATCGATAATTTATCGAATCCCTAAGTTTTCCACTCAGGCTTGCCAACTTAGGGCTTTTAGCCCCAAATTTAGGGCACAAATATAATAGTTGTTTTGTTAATTACTTCAACTATTTGTAATCCACCTTAACATAATTTGGAACTCATTTAAACAATATCTTTGATTACAATACAAGGATTTTTGAAGCTTTTGAAAATTGTATTTTTAGGGCTATTTCATCTTGATTTTAGGGCGATTTTTTTAAATTAGTTGGCAGCACTGGTTAAACTATCCTAATTAGGGGTGCTGAAAGTCGAGAAATATATTGATACTAGCTTTTCACCTGCGGCTTTCCTAGCGTTGAAGTCCTTTAATAAATATATTTATTTAAAAACTATATATATTTTAAAGAACGATATTTTCAACCCTCTCAACACTTTTTTCCAATTATAAATAGCCTATGTCCTTTTTCAGGCTCTAGAATATCTGTGTACCAAATTTCATAGAAATCGGTTCAGTAGTTTTGGCGTGAAAGCGAGACAGACAGACAGACAAAGTTACTTTCGCATTCATAATATTAGTATGGATTTAAAAAAATATATTTAGTTCAGTCTGATTCAATAATAAGTAATAGTAAGTTTTAAACAAAATTCACAATAGTTTAATGTATGAGAAATCTTAATAAAACTTTAATTATTTATTAACTTTGATCAAATTTCTTTTATTAATCTAAATTTCTAGGTATATTGTTTATCAAGACCTTCATCGGATAAAAAAACAAACAGCTTATTTATTAAGATAAATCAATATCTTTAGCCCTTCGATTCGAATAAAAAAAAAGTAATAAAAAACATGAAAGTTTGTAAAAAACAAAGAATTGTTTAATACGAAGTTAATAATGGGTCAAAAAGAGATAGAAGATATAATAGTTGTTTGATTGACATGAAAATGCTGAAGGACAAAAAAAGTTACTTATGTTGGTTTAAACTTTAATGATATTTATTAAATTAATTTTTATGATGTCAAATAACTTGTTTTTATGAAAAATTTATATTTTACTATGAGACATTGAATTATTAAATTTTTAATCACTTTATTTACATATTAAATTAAAGTAACTTTGGTTGATGCCATTAATGTTTTGCATGCTAATTTATAAATGAACTTAACATGTAGTTCAATACTAATGATTTGTAACACCTCTATACTATATTGTACCTTAGATATGGATAGTATGTAGTATAAATACCATAATTATAGTACAAGATGCAACACTACATCCGCGACAATATTACACATAACAACAGTCTTTTTTCCGTTCATTTTTATATTTTACGGCTTTTATTTTAATTTTATTTGAATCAGTTTAAATAAAAATATGTTCAGCAGTGGATTCAAACAGGCTGAAATGATGATGATGAATAAAAATGTCGTTTTTGATACCATTTAGATATTCAATTTTTATATTGATATATCTGATCAAAATATATCGTCCAAAAATATCGACATATTTTTAAAAAAAATATCGATATTTTTTCGGCATCCCTATTAGGCTGTTGAGTGTTGTGGCATCATAGTAAGTTTTTGTGTTAATTCAGTTTTGTATTGTTCGATTTTGTGTTGTGGGTATCGTAATTGAGATAAAAATGGTTAAACATTGTTGCATAAAATACTGTAAAAGTCAATCGGTATCTGGTTGCGGCATATCATTTCACAGGTAACCTAAAAATACTATGAAAATAAAAAGGTTGCACAAATTTCGGGGAGTAATTCAAGATTTATTTTTTTACTGCAGAATTCCAAAAAATGCGGAATGTGGGCAAAAATGGATAGATGTGATCCCGGGGTGTGTTTCAAAGTACTCTGTTGTGTGCAATTTACATTTTAAGCCAGACGATTTTACTGATACATGTTATCGAAAAACTTTAAAACTGAACGCAGTTCCGTCAATTTTTCCTGTTGTGAGTATTTTGTATTGTGTTAAATTAAGTAATATTCAACCCCAAGCACTGTATATTTTGTGTAAGCATAAGTGTATGTATGCACATTTTTTTGCAGAAAAATTCAAGTTCAAAAGTCAAAAAGTTTGCCTCGAGGAATACTTCACGGGATGCGATGAAACCAAATAAAAGTGTTAAATTTTCTGTTCCTGGACAGCGGGCTCGTCATCTTCACCAGGTATTGGGAGGTAACCAAGATACCATATTAGATTATATCATTTATTGCCATATGAAACAAAACATATGAAGCAAAAAGACAACACTAATGTGGCTTGAATGTAATGCATCACAAGTTGAATGTAAGTTAACATGTTATTATTTTTATTACCCAGTAAATTGTAAATCCACACCGGCATGAAAAGATGTCACATAGATTCTGTAGGAATTTCTTCTGCTTATTTATTTATTATTTAAATATCAGTTCAAGCTTCAAAGTGATTTATGATATAATTATAAAAATAAAGAAAAAAAAATACTGACTATACTTATAATTAGTGTCTGATTGAAATAGAAAATATTCTCACTTCAGCACTAGCGTAATGCTTAGTGGATGGAGAAGAGAAATTCAAAGTATTATATTTTTATTTTTAATTATTTTTCATTAATATAATTTTTCTTTTTTTTAAAAACATTGCCCCTTAGGATAATGTCATCCTGTGTTGTAAGGACGTTTTACAAACATAAATTTCAAGTGGACAAACACCCAGATGCGGAACAACTATCTGTGGGTCACACAAATTGTTGTCCCATGTGGGGATCGAACCCACAACCCCCGACGCCAAAGCCAATACCTTGACAACTGCGCAATTTCCACAATTCCTGGCAATGGCCTCCTCTAATGATTTCCACTTTGTTTTTATTTTCCTTTACAATTATTCTCTAGTTGATTTACCCATCTTTTCATTCTGGATCACTATTTCATTTCCTGTTTCATGAGTACCATTCTGTCAATATTTTGCTCCATTCATCCTTAGCCTTTATAAGGCAAGAATATATATTATTATTATTTACAATACATCTTTTATTTGTTCTTTAATCTGATTCATAACTACATAAATTTTAAATATTTAAAAATAAAATATATTTTTAATATATATCTATATATACAAAGAAATTCCAGTACAGTGTTACAGTATTGGGAGAGGTACCCGAGTAAGCAGTATTTAAGATGCATTCTGTATACTGTATTCATTATGAGTGTCTATCACAGTATAATATATATTAATCGATGATTGGGTTCAAGAGCTTGTTTGCACCAATTCTCTTACTGAAATTATATTTTTTGTTTCTATAATGCACACTTCTATTAAGAGTAAGTAATGCAAGAGTCCCATTACTCTTGCATTACTGCCTCTAAAAGCAAACAATTTTAAATAACATTTATATATTTTTGCTACCAGTTCTAAATGTAATATTTTTTTTATTCAGACCTATCTAATCACTACAATTGTGAAACACTTCTAATTCGATAAGGATATTTACTGTTTCATACTTCATGATAGTTATTTGAAACTAATATGAATTTTATAACACCAGCTGCGTATATTGACATATTTTAATAAATAAATAGCCTAATGCGGGAAAATGCATGTATTTGTATTTTGTAATAAACCGCCGTCAGAATCAGAACAAGACAGCACCCTAAATCCAAAGAGAATTAAATTTAATCACTACGTTTAAGAGACGGGACTTCCATACTAGCCAAAAATATCAATTTACACGGCACTCCAATACCAACCATACCACAAAAATACCACAAAGATGTCAAACAACCGGAGTACCAACATAACGAGACAAATAGTGCTTAACCAAGCTAGCTTAGCTTCTTATCGATATCGATAAAATATACTAGGTAGAAAGCGAGGTTTCCACAGTATTTTTTTAAATTAATTTTAGGTAAGTATCGAGTCCGCATATATGTCCAATGTTGATGAGGGGATATTTGGTACTAATACAAGATTGGACTTAAATACGGACCCGAAATAAGATAAAAAACGGTTTCTGATAATTCAAATAAAATTTTATTACTGAAATGAAATTTATTTCTTGTCTCTTGATTCTTCAGCCAACAGCTGTTCTCCTGCTGTACACGAGTCTGGAAATAATTGAAACATAAAAATAGAAAAATCCAAAAATTATTTTAGTTTTCTTGCATACTCATCGCACGAAATTAATGATATGACGTATCAATATTACAGAGATTATGTTTCAAAATCCTGCAAAATTCACCTATTCCAATCCTTGCTCATTTATGTAGGCACAACATTCAAATATGTCAAACTTTGTGCCCCTACTCGTTCACGCAACATTTATTTCCTGTTTTTTTTTTTCAATGATAAACATTAACGTAGTTATCGATATGTGGATATTACAGTTGCAGTACATCACTAGCACACAGATTAATTGAGATAAATTTGTTAATTTTAGTTGTTCTTAGCCTGCTCTACTTGCATATGGCTGCAAAGTATCATATTTAAGTGCTTACATGGGCTTCATCTAAAGGAAATATCGCCATAAACATCCTTTTTTCAAGGTTCGAATGACTTGCTCGATTTTCACCAATTTCACAGGTAATAAACCGTCTTTTTGGCATCTTATCCTTTAAACGAGCAATTCTTTTATATATATATATATAATCGGAATCTCGGAAACGGCTCCAGCGATTTTCATGAAATTTAGTATGTGCATAGATTTGGGGGCGAAAAATCGATCTAGCTAGGTTTTATTTTTAGAAAATGTCCTTTTATCGCTGTTTTCAGGGAATGAAAAATATAATTCGAATATGACGGTAAATTTCGCCGCAAGAGAAAATGTCAAAATAGCTCGGTCGGTAATCGGGCGGCCCCAAAACAGACGGCCGTGGTTTGCGTCACGATCATTTACACATTTTTTTTTTTTACTTTTTTTTTCGATTCCAGATCATTGCTTTCTTTATTTTTAATTTTTTGTTGATTTGTTATTTTGTTATTTTTTTCCCTTTTTTTTTAAAGTTCTTTCTTTTGTGAAAAACATCAGTTCATATCTTCTTATTATTACGTCGGTAAGATCGAAAAATATTATGCATATTTCATTACTCAATAATTTGTATCTAAATGTAATTTCCAAAATACACGATTTACCAAAAAAAAAACAAACCGAGCAAAGCTCGGTCTTCCGGGTACTTTTGAATTAAAAGTACAACTCTGTTCACCTGTCACTAGTTTTCGTGAGAAAGTTTACTCTAAACAATTTAAATTTACAATGAAATAAGCATTTACATTCAAAATACACGGTGCAAAATTAAGTTTTGACAAACAACATGGCACTTCTTGTATTACAAGAAAAAGAAACCGCATTGAGGGAGAGTGATAGCAATGTCCGCCATTATTTGCCGCGTAAAGTCCATAGAAAAACCTAAACCTAAGCCCTTTGCGCACCACAGAATAAACAAATATTTTTGACTCTGAAAAAAAAAATTATTATGGCATTCTGTGCAGTGAAATCTTGCAAAAATTGCTAACAAAAAAAAAACCTTGTTAAGAAACATTTATTTTAATGAGTAAGTATTTTGATTCCATTTAAAAATAATTCTTCCGTTAATGTCACATTCGCTATATCCTATCGGTGTTGTTCGTATAAATGATTTTAATTTTCTCAATTCTAGTGATACTATTAAATACTGAAATGTAACATATAATGTAAATGTATATAATTTGGAGTTCATACTGTATTTTTTTTAGGTGATGTAGGGCCACGCAACACCCGGGGTGTTCATCGAGCATCGAGCAGGTAGCAGGTGCCATGTGCAGAGTGCTGCCTAATCCTTGGGGACCGATAGAGGAGGTTCGTCGCTTCTATGCAGGGTTCGTGCGTTGCCTTATACGGGGCGCCAGTATGGGCTAATAAGCTTGCTGTTCGTCGCTGTAGATCCAAAATTCACAGTATCCAGCGGAGGATGGCTATACGGATCGTACAAAAATACCGAACCGTATCTTTTGAAGCGGCGATGATCTTGGCTCGCTGCCCACCTCTGGATATACTGGCAGCCATAGATGCACGGGTTTATCATCAAATCCGCATCCTCCGTCAGGAAGGTGGAAATGAGCCAGAAGAGGCGTTTCGACTAATTAAACAGCGGGAACGGCAGAACGCATTAGCGACATGGCGCGCTCGGCTCTGTGAAGAGCGTTATGCGCGCAAACGTGTTGTTGAAGCTTTCCTGCCAGTATTCGAAGCCTGGATGGATCGTGGGGACCTCCCATTTTAGTAGCTGGCGAACCACCGTGGGGTTTTAGTCGGTGCGAGTCCGACATAACCTGGGTTTTGATTAGCTCAGATATCCATAACGAATTTCCCCACGGAAAGAAAAAAAAAATGGCCACGCAACAGTCTTCGTTGTCGCACGAATGGGCAGGTCCGTCCGGGTAAGTACTACGACCTCACAGAAAACCGGCGAAAACCACCTGCACCCTATTGATGGAAACCAAATGTAAGGGCGTATATTTGTACGAAATTACTATAAAAAAAGGATGGCAGAAAATTTGGATAAGGGCTGTTCTTACTAAATATAAAGTATAATGTAAATAATATGTCCAAAATTATTTTAATTAAAAAATAAACTTATTTTAAGTCAATAAATCTTTTTTTATCGCATGGTGAATTTCAATTTATTGTATATCGTTATTTAAGTCCTTGTAACATTCAAATACTTTTTGAAAATCATTAATAGTTTTGGGAAATATTAATCTACACATACCAAACTAGTGGTGGGCGATTCATATCGTATCAGATATGAAAACTAGATATTAGTACAATATCCGAATATCGCTTACTGGCTCGTTCAATATCTATGTATTTTACAATATCTGATATTTCCGTAATCTGATGTAGCGTGCTCGCTCGCTATACCGACACGAATCGCGATATCATACGCGTTTGCCACAATATCTGATTTTTAAACAGATTTCGAGAGACAAAGCGCGTGAGATACAAATACTCACTAGTTAGAGCGGGACGGCAAGCAATGCACGATATCAGATATCGAGAGACAAAGCGCGTGAGATACAAATACTCACTAGTTAGAGCGGGACGGCAAGCAATGCACGATATCAGATATCGAGCGACAGAACGCGTGAGATATAAATACTCACTAGTTAGAGCGGGACGGCAAGCAATGCACGATATCAGATATCGAGCGACAGAGCGCGTGAGATATAAATACTCACTAGTTAGAGCGGGACGGCAAGCAATGCACGATATCAGATATCGAGCGACAAAGCGCGTGAGATATAAATACTCACTAGTTAGAGCGGGACGGCAAGCAATGCACGATATCAGATTTTTAAACAGATTTTGAGCGACAAACCGCGTGAGATACAAATATTACACTAGTTAGAGCAGTACGGCAAGCAAGGCACAATATCAAATTTTTAAACAGATATTTTGAATAAGTTAAGTAATTTTGAATCTTAAAACCATGACAAGATCCGTTTCAATTAAATACTAATCATGGTATCAACGATTACTACAACGATATTATTAAGTATATTTTTATTGTTTTGTTTAGCCTTGAGCCGTAACGGGCGACAAAGCGTGTAGTTAAGTAATTTTGAATCTTAACAGCATGGAAAAAAACGTTTTTAGTTGCATTTAAATACGAATTACGAAATTAACGATGTCTTTAAATTTTGTTTAACCTTGAGCTGGATTGCATTGGTACCTAGCACGTAATAGTAAGGGATGCCAACTTACTACTTAAGAATTTTCTGCCTAAATTAAGGAAGAAAAATGATATTATTATTATTATTATTATTTTTTAGAATTCAAGGTGGATACGGGACCGTAAAATATCTAGATATTAAAATACATAGTTTCGAAATCTGATATTTGAAATTGAAATCTGATTCAGATACGGTACTCAGAAAAAGCGATACGACCCATCTCTATACCAAACAACTTAATGAAAACAAAAAACTAACCAGAGTAAAGGAAAATCCCCATTTTGATAGACAACTGTTACTACCACGCATCCGCGGCTGTGTAACAGTGCCATAAAATTTACATTTGTCATGAGCCGAGACGGCGTCTAGTCTTATATAATCTATGTTGTTAAGCATTTTGCTGGACTCGTTAGGTTATTAAATTATTCGGTTTAACAAGTTAACCGAAAGTTTAATAACTTAACGAGTTAGGTTTAAGAAATAAATGCAAATCCATCTTATTTTAATTTATATATGGTAACTTGATTTCTAGCACAGAAATGTGACTTTTTAAATCTATCGAAGTGTTTATGATATGAAAATATATTTTCAAAATCTTTAAACGCTAAATATAATTTAATAATAGTCTAGACTATACAAGTTATTTAAGTCGGGACTTGATTTTATAATATGGTAACATTAATTGCACGGCAAACAAAAAGTTTTCAAAAATAAAAAAAAATCCCTGACAAGTGTACAGGCATTTAGTATAATTTGAAAAATATTAAGAAATTATAATATTTATATCTGTAATTATGCTATTTGTAGACGTTTGAGATTTCTCTCAACAAATTTTTCGCCATTGTCCTTTATGAAATTAAATTATATTTATTTATTTTGACACGTTTTGCCGATTTTCAGTACATATCAAAAATTTAAATATTAAATAACATACTAGATCTAAGATTAACACTAAGCGGGTACATTAATTCTAAGACAAAATTTACATCTATAAGTATGAACCAGTGAACAGTATAAAAAGGAAAAAATTACCAGTTCCGGAACTTACAAAAAAGAGAATGAAAACCAAGGCGATACGAACAGCAAAATATAGATATATGAAAACACCAAAGTCGCAAGTCAAAAATATTAGTAGAAGTATATTCTGTCACTATATATAAAATACTTACACACGTCTTTTACACACGTATTTTCTTCCATTACGACCAGATATACTCATCAGAAAAGATCTGTAAGTAGATCATAGAACTACTTATTATGTCACAAGACTTCCCGTACCGACATTTCGTACTTAAAATGACGATTTTAGGGTTCCGCACCCAAAGGGTAAAACGCGATCCTATTATTAAGACTTCGCTTTCTGCCTTATATTGCCTGTCTGTCTGTCTGTCTGTCCGTCCGTCTGTCCGTCACCAGGCTTCATTTCATGAACCATGATAGTTAGACAGTTGAAATTTTTTACAGATGTATTTCCGTTACCATTATAAAAAAAATACTATTAAATAGAATGAAAATATATTTATTTATTTGAACACTTTATTGAACAACTGATACAAACGGCAGGCTTATAAGGCATTTTCTATCAGCCAACCGGAGAGTTAATGAGAGAAAGAAGTGTAGGTGCATGCATATTTATAACACACATGTATAATGACATAAATATTAATGCAATAAATAAATAAAATACAGGGTGTTTTTTTTAAAGGTGCCCAAATTCACACAGGAGGTTCAGACTCGGTAATATCATAGTTTATTGAAATAAAAACAAACTTTATTTTTTCAAAAAATTGCCATTCTATTCCCTAAAAAACAGAACTTGTTGACAATGCGGAAGTCATTCATAAATGCGTCGTATACTTTGGAAACGAAGTTGTGTGGTGTTGGTTATGAACGATCGCCCGTAAAATAAAAGAGTTGCCCATAAATCACGCACTTTTTGAGATAAGTTCAAATGAATGTAATTAATTAATTAAGAGTGATTTTAAATATTTATCATTTTTATATAACATTATTTATGTCTAGAATTAAATAAAAAAATCGATACACTTACAAAAGCCTCCCTGTACATATACGTATATAAAAAATTTAAGTGGGGCTCCCATACAACAGACATAATTTTTGTTTGGTTTTTATAGATAATGGAACGGAACCCCTCGTGCGCGAGTCCCACTCAGACTTGGTCGGTTTTTTAAATTAGCCGATATCGCTTATTTACAGTATGCACAATAAATACCTATTGTTAAACAGGATTTTTCGTGTCCGCTGCGGTAGCGCTGTGGTTCATTAAAATCCTCGTCCTAATCGTTAACATTAGGAACCGGCATAGCCACGAGTGACGTTCAGTATGTTTTGCGATAGCTACAAATCAAGTCACGAAAATCCTTTATAGTTTCGAAAGTCATCGCAAATATATTGTCTTCGCAATAATATATTTGGTTAAATTAATTCATAAGAATTATTTGTTTAAATTATAATTATAAATCCAGATATCCTTTTAATTTCCTTTTATATATCGTTGAGGCCGTTAATTTGAAATAATAAAATATTATATGATATTATAATATAATAAAATATAAAAAATAATAAAATATTATTGGGGAAACCTGCATATTTTCGAAATAATAAAAAAAATGTATTTCGAAGATATGTACAGTCCGCCAATCCGCAGTGGGGCCGCGTGGTGGACTATGCCCTGATACCCTCTGTATAGAGGAGGCCTTTGCCCAGCAGTGGGACTTGTATAGGCTGTTACTTTACTTTTTTAAAATATTATATTTCGCCAAAATTGCCTTCCCATTTTAATTGCCTGAACTATTGTTATGAAACAAATTATGATTAACATGTTCTTTTCATAACTAATATCACATTGCACTATTACGATTACTAATTCTTAAAATTTAAATTAGAGGATCTCAAACTTATTTTACCTACTGGAATCGATCATTTTCTATTGTCTTTTTTAAGTCGTAATCATTGCCGGACTTTATTACCTCTAGGGCCCACAATTTATTGGCGGTCTAAAGGTTAAATAAAAGTTAAACAAAAATTAAGTTAGTTCACAGCAGTTTTTCCGGTTGACACAAATAATTACTTTGAATTGCGGAAACCGTTTTACTCTATATAATTAAATGAAGAAAGTGTTAAGTAATCTAACATTTTAATTTTCATACGTCCATCTGTATCCTGTATAACAATTTGAAAATATTATCACATACAACAAACATTCTCGATAATTCGATACCGCTACGACGGCCATTACGCGCAAGCATCAGTGAATAGTGACTCAAACGAACCGATGTTTTTGTAAAAACCGATATCATATTAATTAAAAAAGTTTCAGACCTATACTATTTTTGTTTGAATTCTTTTTTTTAATTTTATAAATTCCGCAATGCGCAAGAGTTATTTCTATAGATTTATATATAGTATATATGATTATATTTCTGAATACATGCAAATGTTTATTGACAATGTTTAGTAACTTATAATCAGATTAACAGATTTATCTATTTCAAATTATTGTATTTAACACTATAATTGTTTTTGGAACAAGGAAAGTAAAATAAGAAATGGGCAATTCGACTGACGACTTACGTCTAGAGTATTAATAACATCCAAAAAAACCGATATATTTTTAATGCACATCACTAGAACGGTAATGCAACAAAAAAATTAATCGCAAACAGCGACAGGCGTCATCTTGTTGTAAGAGTTGACATAAAAGAAAATATTGAAAGTAATACACGTTTTTTTATAGTTTTTTTTATATCCGACATCTTCAAATGCCGCATTTAAAATGGGCACCAGATCTGCCGCGAAGATAAAACTCCGCAGCACGTCCTACAAATGCGACATTTGTAGTCGGAGACTAATGAGCGCGGAGGCGCTCAAATCCCACCAGGAATGTATTCATATCTCCACAGCTAAAGTGAAGACGAAAGCAGCGCCCAACAAATCGCCCGTTGTGAGACCTAGGCACGGCACGCCGAAAATAAAGAGTGTAAAACTGGCGAAGATTCCAATCAGTAAACCAAAGACAGCAACGCCAAAGAAACCCACAGCGGCGCCGAAACCTGCCGCCAAAACGTCGGTGAAAAGCCCCGCTAAGCCAACGCTGAATCCAATTGCCGTTGATGCGACAAATGTGGAATACGAATGCCCAAAATGCATGAAATCCTTTCGTAATTATTTTTCTGCTCACAGGCATATACAAAAATGTCATTGTGTAAATAGCGCTGGTGAGAAAGTGTAAGTAAACATATGCTGCGCGCATTCGCTTTTGCAACTTGCAAAATAAACTTGAGTTGTATAATAAAATCAATTACATTTTTAGGTTATATTTCCACTTTTAATTCATTTATACAATCAATCATTTATATATCAAATACACAAATTGTTTATCCTTCAATTGCTTATCTTACTATTTTATCACTTAATGTACTTAAAATTATTTCAAAACTGTAACTGGGACATAGGGTTAATATTAAAATACAGCATTTAAATATTCACCCTTAAGGCTATTTTTTGAATAATACCTAAAATAAACACTTTTATTGTCAGACAATATGTGTATTTGTCACCTAAAAACTGCCTCAACTTTCTTGTATTTGTTGCAATTTTGACCTGTAGGTGAGCTCCAGTCAAGTACAAAAGTATATACTTGTTGTTGTTTGTAAGATAGAAGCAAGCCTAATAACAAGTTTTAAATTGGCCCCAGTTACATCTTTCATCGAATGCTATGCAGAAGTACAATACATCTGCATTTCATCTAGTACTTAAGGCAAGCTGATTTATTCATGCAACAAATGATAATTTCGAATAAATTGCTATCATATTTTCTTTGTTCAGCATTTTTTAAAAAAAGTAACAATTTTGTAAAATACCTAAATCTTCTATGGATAGTTTCCGCATAAAGGAAATAAATTAAAAATAACTATTATTTATCAATGATGTTCTCTAGAATTCGGGACTATTATGGTCTGAACTCATTCATAATATAAATAAATTATAATAAAATTATGTTACAGCCCCCCTAACTCACCACATCTTATAAAACCGATAACAAGACAACTGTGCCCTAAATGCAACAAACGAATTATGGCAAACAAGACACATTCATGTGAAAACAACCCAGATGAGAATGAAGAATTGGGACCGGCAATGTATTATGTGTGTTCCGGGTGTAAGGAGCAGTTTATCAGTCTAAAATTGTTTGATAAACATGTGTCAGGCCTTCACTACCTTGGGGTTGAGAGTATGTTCTTACCTAGCAAAGAAGGTTGGTAAAAAAAAATAGTTTTTTTTTCCATTAAAAATATACATAATGCTTTTCATGATGCTAATGCTAAAACATAATGAATTCTAAAGATAATAGGAAAAATTTGTTGACATAGTATTTGAACAACATAATTTCTTGCTAAGATGTACAGATTATTTGACTATATGATGTACTAACAAATTGTAAATTACTAAATAATTGGATTTGATGAAGTGGGATTGTGGTAGCTCAATGCAGGTTTCTTTTATATAGCTATACAGCTTTAAAAGCTATACAGAAATTAGAGCTAATATAGAAATGAAGCCAGTAGTTAACGCCATCCATGGAAATCTACACCATAAAGATTGGATATACCTCTTAACAGACAAAATGAATTAATATTTCTATTTCACACCTGTCTGTGAAGTCATGGTACTTGTAGAAGATTTTCCATTTCTACTATAGCTGCTATGTGGGCCAACTATGGTCAGTGCTTTTGCTAACAATTCTGTATGCTTAAAAATATAGCTAACAAACATAAGTATAGAGTATTTAAATACTCTTCACAGCGCTGTACTCATTAAATCAAACAAAAACAAGTAAACTAGTGGAAGTTGCTAATCATAAATATAAATTAATTTTAGATTTCCAGGAGTGGAAAAATGAAATGGAGAAGCTTATTAATGTCAGATATGCCATCCTCGGAAAATACAGTTCCAAAGAAATGTACCGCTGCACATTCCTACCGGACGGAACCAACATCCATGACGACACCACTTCGGTTATGTGTCCATCCACTATTGTTGTCCGAGAGTTCTCAAAGGGGGTACAGGTTCATTTCTACAAAGACCACCATGGCCACAGCTCCAATGAATACGTTCTACCCGATAAATACAAAAAATTCTCCCTCACGACAATACTTCAAAACGCCGAGGGCTACACACAAATAAACGAGTTGAAAGTGGACGAGAACGACCCTTACCTACAGTTCAAGAAGCTAATGGAGTGTATAGTTTTAGATGCTGCAAAGATTAACATAAAGACGCTTAAGGTCCTCATTGGGAAGGCCCTGGAGATGACATCGGTGCTGAATAATTACGAAGAGGACTCTGACTCGGATACAATGTCGCAAAAAAAGGTGATAGAGGAAAAGATATCTTGGGTCGTCAACAATAAGAGTGTGGGGGAGAAGAGGAAACCGGAGACTCCAGACGACAAGTCCAAATCAGAGCCCATCACGAAGCGGTTCAAGACCAGGATGTACCAGCACCCACCCGAGGGCGACAAGGCCAAGGAAGCGGGTGCGCCCGCTGCACTGCAGGATACTACAATCAAAATCATCAACTCCTTCTCGCTGGCCGACAAAGACATCAGCAAGGCCGTGAACGAAATGGACAGCGAAGGGGAGAACGATACGAAGCCGAAGATAAATACGAAAGGCGACGGGGGAACGTCGCCGTTGCCAGAATTGAGTGTTAGCAGGGATGAGCTGATGACACCCATAAAGTTCCAAAAAGAAGCGGTTGACAGCTCGCTGACTTCCTTCAATGACTCATATAAAGATTTTGTGTCGAAGAACTTCAAAATGTCACCCACAGTTCCCTCAAAGTCTAAAAGCAAAAGCGCGAAAAACCTCCCGAAGAAATTCACGCTTTCCAAAGGGTCGAAAACCGATAGCTCACCCAGTCCGCCTCTGCCGCAAATGAAGCAAAGATTGTCAGACGCCAGCCTATCAAAACCGATAGATTATAAATATGAGGTTAAAGAAAGGGAAAACGATTGCAATATATTGATTCTTAAAATATAGGAAAAACACTGGTGAAAAATCTATATTTTTGTACATGTTGCGAACCATAACTGTGTATAAATAAATTAAGTCCGGATAGCACAAGTGACTGTGAAAATGTGAAGTATTGAGTAAAAGGTTGATTTTAAAACTATTTAATCAACAATTAATTAATTTCGTTGCCGTAACTTTACTGTGGGTATCTCAATTATGAGGCGATGTGTTAGTATCCGTATCATATTGTTATTTTGTAAAGCTAATATTAAGATGTTAAATGGTACTTCCAATTATGTGTGTTGGTATTTACTACCTGTTTTAATCTATGTGGTTACTGTGTGTTTTATTGATTATTAAAATGTCTATATCATGTTTGATTAAAAAAGCAATTCAATTGTGTATATTTGTAAAACATTTTGGCACATGTTTTGGCATATGGTCGATACAATTTTTATCATTCATTGAAATTCTTTTGTTGCCCAATTTATCGCTTATGTGTAATATTTGAAATGTATAATTTTATTTACATGACACTTCTTGTTTCCATAATTTACATCTACAAATCTGCAATAGGAACTAAATAAGGTTATAAAGGTTGACGATTTGGTAATATTTTCTAATGGTTGTTAAATATTTAAGTATAATATCTAAAAGATTCTTTTGCAGAATGATTTCGCTAAGATAACTGTTAGTAAATTTCGTGCCTATGTACTGCACTTAAATTTTTCTCTCAATCATTTTTCAAATCGAATAACATTAATGAAAAGGATAATACCTATATTTTTTCAACATACTTTTGAATTATGCATGCAGAGGTTCTCTTTGAATGAAACCATATGCGGCTGCATACTGCTTGATTTATGTTTTAATTTATTGCTGCTTTTATGGCAACATTTTTAAGTAAACGCCTATTTTACGCTAATCCGAGTGTGCGAAGAACTCTGCTAGGTTTTTAACAGGTTAATTGCACTTGAAATTCAACAGACATGTTAACTATAATATCATCATCTCATTAGGAGCTCTTGCCAAAGTTTCTTTTTTAAAAAGAATTTCACTAAGATGTCAGTGTTAGTGACCACTATTTTTACTATTTTGTAACTTTAAAAAGAAATTTTGTAAATTGTTATGTTTCTATTCAAATTAAAATACTGAAGTACACTGTATAATAATATTTTTAGGTACATATAATATAAAACACGCGCCATAGAATATTGGTAGTTGTTTGTTTGATTTTTTTTATTTAGTATTGTATACATTTGCTTCCTTGGTGAGATATTGTATTTTCATGTGTTCTATTAATAGTATTTAATTCGAACTGTTGTGTGTATCTACAATGTTTACATAAAATCTTTGAATTCCCTTTAGCTGCCAACTTTTTTCTTGTCAAGCCATAGTCAATATAATTTCAAGTTATGTCTTGTATAATCGCAGTCTACATTGTTAATAAAATCGAATATATTGTTGTAAATGAAATATGTAAACGATTCCTCTTGCAGATTAGGTTTTCGTTATAATAACGGTTCCATGACAAGAAATAATTTGGTTTATCACTGACCTTATAGTACATAGTCCACTCTTTTTCTTTAATACTTCAATTTGAATGTGTGATGGATGAACTAAGTTTTAATAAGCTCGGACTATAGAGTAGGAAAATTATGTTTAATTTCGTATTGTATTAATGTAATAAATATAAATATTCTAATACATAATTTTTTATTTAATGTTTTTCTCAAGTACTATACTCAATTAATGAAAGTATTCCATTATCTATATATACCGGAATCAAAATCTTTGTACCGCTATTTACGAAAATTGCTCAGACGGAGGAGTATGAAATTTCCCACACAACATTAAAGAGAGAAGTGCAGAATACAATTTTTTTTAATTATGCATAAAAATTACATTTTTGCATTTACATTTCATAAAATCTAACAAAGTCGTCTGACGAGTCAATGATTGTTTCTTCACCCGTAATATCTCGCAGCATGCTAGTAATTTTTTTATTACTTGTTTTGTAACAGAATTGTGCTCTTCGTTGGAGTCTAGGCTTTCTAAAATTGTTAACCTTTTCTCAATTGAAATGAAGGCTACGTTGCGCGGCATTCACACAAAAGACGAATAGCCGAGAAAATTAAAAAATCTTAACTATGAATTCACGATATTCACGTCATGGTGTTACACCATGAAGTTGGTTTCGGGCATCCTAAAAACTACCTCTCATCATTTTTCCCAAAAGAAGCATAAATTCAACAATTATTCAGTTCTTTTTCTTGTTTTGTGGGAGTAAGCGGTAAATAAAATCGATAATACCCTATCTGTTGTTTAATTCCGGTTGTTTTATCTCAATTTCTTGCTTGAGTCTCATCAGTTATTAATAGTGGACTAGGCTTCACTGCCCTTTATGATAAACATGAATATGATCTCTTTCGACCGTTTTTAAAATAGATTGGTTTTATTACATTTATGCCTGGTTTCTAAAACACTGATCATCGTAGAAGTCAGCTAATCGTCTTTTGAAATGTTGTTTAAGTTGGCAGAAGAATTGTTACACGATCTGAATTGATCAGAATGATCAATACAAAGAGTTTCGCAATCCTTTTGGCAATTCAAATAACCTTTGAAAAGACAGAAAATTTGACAGCTGATTAGTTGACTTCTACGATGATCAGTGTTTGAGAAACCGGCCGTAAGTCCGGTGACAGACCGACATAGGAGTATTAGTTATAGGGTCCCGTTTTACTCTTTCGGTAAGGAACCCTAAAAATGAACAGTTTTGACACATAAAGTCACGCTTTTAACATCAGTGTTCGAGATACTTTCGAAATATATTTATTACAGGGATGAAAGCATTCACACATGTAAAAATACACTTAAATAATACACCATTACTAATATTCGGTTGAGCCACCTGCTGTTTTGACCATTTTTTCCATTAAAAAAACACCACGCTTGCTTTTGCTAATGCTTCGTTAATACACAGGTATATACAGACATACATGAAAAATAGATATAGGGGAAAAAGGGGTTATGGGAGTCAGTGGGTAATGGTGGTCACCCACATATATACAAAACTTCTATCACTAGTGATGCGTAAATGGCTTCGCTACTCCACTATGTGCCCCTCACAATCGTTGCGAGTCGGTTGCGCCTGTATAGCAACGGCATCGGGAACGAGAGATCATTTTTGTTTTTGCGGCTTGCTGATATAAATTTCTTCTCTCGCAAAATAAACGGTAAGTATCACATTTATTGATTGACTTGTTTGTAACTTTCGTACGCCTTTATTCGGACATTCAGTGTAACGATTTCAAACATATATAACGATGGCTGCAAATATATATTTTGTTTTTTTTTTCTTCTTCTTAGAGTGTTTATGGGTAATGAGAATCGGGTGACCCCCGTGCAATACGCCAATTACATTGCATGTAACTATATTTTTTGATTTAATAAAAAATCTTACTGACTGGCTGACTGTGTTCAGCCTTGAGAAAGAAAAGGATTTGGCCGACTTCATAAAGAAAGTGGCCAATATTTTTCTATGAATTTATGCACAGCTAATGAAATTAGAAAAACGGCATTTTAATATGCTGAAAACTTTAACTTAAACACTATTTTAATCAGTTTTCGAAATTGCCTGGACGTGACTGGTTGTTGTCACCTGGTGACCTTGCAAAAAGGTCACGCCGTACGAAGTAGCATCCCTATTATGGAAGGAACTCAATAACGTTTCACCTATTAGTAAAGGGGAATCGGGATTTAGGGCTACTGGTATTTACCCAATAAACCCTCGACGTATTTTCTAAACAAGATTTTCTGCCAGCCGAATTGCTCCAATCGGAGACTACTACCATTCAAAACTATGATGAGTCAGATGCTATAGATAACCCCGCACCAGGTCAAGGAGAATCTTCAATAACTGGCACATCAATGCATGTTGGTTCTTCACCGCCACTACCTCCAACTTCTAGCGCAGTTGATTGTCCAGCTGATCAGTCTGCGAGCTGGGATATGTGAGCGATTTATGTCCATAAGGTGACCACAATTACCCTTACCTCGGTGCAATTGGAGTCAAAACTGTTTTTCTGCTTTAACTCTTTTATTTGCCAAAATTAATTATTAATGTGATGACCATTGATCTCAAATGATAGCCAAGTAAATAGACTTTGTTATGAGGCGGTTGCAATAAAGATTCTGTTTCAAGCTTTTTTATTATTTCAGTTTTCGCTTAAGTGACCCCCATTACCCCTTTTTCCCCTACCTACTCTTACTATACCTCTACTAAATGATATTTTATCCTATAGATATGATATACGTGAGTGTAAACAAAGGTGTTTTCCTTAAGTTTAACTTGAATAGTTAGAAGCCTTAATGTGGAAAAAGAAGTTAATTAATAAGATCAGCTACGTATTAGTAATAACTTTAATCTTTGTGAGTAAGTATGTAACTTTTTATATGCGTATCTTTTCAGTTATTTTATATGTAACATACTAATCTTACATAGTAAAAAACAAAGTCGCTCCCGATATTAGACACGGCGGCATTTTTACTATTGTAAAATTTTTGACACAACGTCTTACTCGCCGCCCTGCCTAACGTGAACTAAAGTAAAGAGTTAAAGACAAGATGATCTTTTAGTATTCATAGGTATTTACGTATGAAATTGCCGTTCTTCATTCAATTGGCCAAATATTAGTTTAGATTGGCCGTGAATTCTAAATTAAAATTAATTTTGTTTTAACTACATCTTTTTACAAAGTCAGTTTTTTGTTTATTGATTAGATTTGTATTTTCCATAAATTAAACATTCATCCTATCAGATACTTTAAAAATTCATGTAATTATGGAATATGAGTTCCGTCGTTGCACCATCGCGTCACAAATGGCGCGTAATATCAACAACATTTACGGAGAGAACTATAGAAACGAACACACAACCCGTTATTGGTCTGCCCAGTTCCTTTTTGGAAGTTTTGACTTGAAAAATAAACCTCGTGGTCGTCCGGACACTTGATGAATTAAAGGCGATTGTAGAAGCTGATGAATCTTCATTCGAGCTATAATAATTGCTTGTATTTATGCGATTACACATTACTAAATGAAACTATGTTTACGGATTTATCGTGTTTATTTTGGTTGTTGAATAATGAATGAATTTTGTCTCGATAGATGAGTGCCCCACGAACTTAACGATCGCCAGCGCAACCTATGCGTCGAGACACGCCTCGCGCTGCTCAACAGGCACAGATCAAGGAATTTTGAACCGAATTGTTACGTGCGACGAAAAATTGATTCTGTTCCATAACCATAAGCGCTCAGCAAGTTGGTTAGATCCTGGTTCAGCTCTAAAGCAATGCCCTAAACGAAAAATGACCCATAGAAAAATGATAGTCACTCTTCGGTGGTCTAGTACCGGTGTGAATCATCACAGCTTTTTGCAAAACCTCATGAGCATTATATCAGAACCACATATGCAGTATACGTGTACTGTGAAGAACTGAAGAACCAGCTTTGTTCTATCAGTCGTCCCCGCTGCTCCTTCACGACAACGCGCGTCTCTATACTGCACAACAGACATTCTCCAAGCTGCAAGAGTTGGGCTTGGAAGCTCTCCCTCATCCACCATACTCATCAGACCTTGCACCTACCGATTATTACTTTATTCAAAATTTTGACAACTTTTTAGAAGGAAAAATTAAATTTCTGAGAGGCAGTACAAAATGCTGATTTTTACAAGCAGGGCATTAAACTACCACCGCGGTGGTCAAGATGTATCGATCGCATGGGTGATAACTTTGAATCACAGAAATAAAAAAAATTATAAAAATAGTTATTTCATACGCAACGGGAATTTCAGGGAAGATCTAATATTACGCATTTTCTGTTTCGTTTTTCAATTTCGTTTCAAATTTGAAATCACAAGACTCTAGGGAATTTCATCGAAGTTTTCATAATATCGATAATCTTATAAGCTATCGGTTTAAATCGATTGGTCAACCCTAAACGTCAGACAAATAAAATTTCAAATTTTGAAATGTATCCAACGCAACGGCCACCCAATTATTAATGTTGTTGTTTTTTTCGTTATTATTATGAAAGCAATTATGCTTATAGATTACATTTATGTTTGTGTTTTTAATTTATAAGACAATACTATAATGCAGCGTGCTTCTAAGAATAGTATGTGGTTTTATAGAAATGTTATTGTTATTAGTATAAATTTATATGGTACACTATGTACATGATTCCAGGGTTAGTGGAGTTGCAGACGTTAATGAGTAAGATGACACTAGAACTTTGCTGCTCGACGGTGCTCCCGGACTTCGGCATTCGATGGAGGGATGTAGCCCGGGCTGTTCGCAACGCAAGATTGCCTATGACGCCGCCCAATATTGCTAGAGTTGTTTGCAAAGGTGTTGCGAAAAACCTTCCAGCTGAAGAAGTGGACGATATTATATCCAGGTTGCGTCTAAAACGTAAGTGGTTGGTAGTTTCGTTAGATTAAAATTACTTCATTTTTTAAATCATAGTCATTGGTAAAATTAATTAATGTAATAAATTGACTCTCGTATTTTTCGATAACCTGTCATTGGGGGGGAAGACAGGGTTCTGAAGAGTTTTTAAGTTATAAAACTCCATTGGCGGCTACCTGCAGTACGTTAGGTTCTTCAGACTCTAGGATCATCAACGGTGCTCCTCTGTATCCTGCATGCTTTGAAGACCGATTTGTACACTAATATTTAGCATGTTAAGGGGTAATATTGTACCTAATATTTCATGGTGTGTGTTGACAGATCCAGCCATAGGTTCTCCTTATATACATATGGATGAGAGATTTTTTTTAAATGCATATCTAAAACACTATCAAAAGGCTTTCAATTTTATTGTTAACTTTAAAGACAGTGGAATGTTACTTTCTTAGTCAATTATCGGACTTAATTTAACTACTTCTATTTATTGTGATTCAAAAATTCACAGTCATTAAGGAAACCAGTATTTTTATCTGACATTGATGTTGGCTTTTGATAAATGATTTCCTATCAAAATACATTTGCATAGATTTAGCCACTGCTGCTTGCTCTACCACTGCAGACTTTCAAAACTTTAAAAAATGAATCTATAAGGGGCATCCTTTGGCAGTGTAACTTTCAAAACCCCCATGATAAATTACAAGATAAGTGGTTATTTACTTCATGCCAAAAGATTAATATTTGTATATTATAACTAAACTAACTTCTCCTTTCCAACTCCCTTAGGGTTGAAGTTATCAAAAGTCATTGTATACTTTTTTGATGGAAATTAAAATTTATTAGTTAGTTTTCAACGCAACAGTGTTTACTGTTGCATCCATGGCCCGGTCCATGGGGGTAAGTACCACGACCTCACAGAAGACCAGAGTGAAGCAGAAGTGTTACACTTCAACGTTTTGTCTGGTGAGTGAGGTAGCCGGGACCCACTTTATTAAAAGGTGACTCCCTTATGCAACCCCGTAAAGTAAAAGTAAAGTATCAGCCTATACATGTCCCATTGCTGGGAAAAGGCCTCCTCTACAGAGAGTATCAGGGCATAGTCCACCACGCGGCCCCGCTGCGGATTGGCGGACTTCACATATCTTCGAAATATTTTTTTGTTATTATTTCGAAAATATGCATGTTTCCTCACGATTTTTACCTTCACCAGCTCGTTTGCTATTTTATCACATAAAAAAAAACTTTCAATGTGGTTAGGCTACTCCGCAACTGCTGTTGTAGCATGAAGGCTTCAAAGTATCGTTTTTATCAAAAGACTGATGTTAATTAGCCCTCGTTGATAACGCAGCTGCAGCCAAACTGATGTTGTGGTCATTCCCACCGGCAGTGGTGTTGTGCTAATTTTTTTTTACCGGAATGCGTATGCTGTATACGCATTCCGGAGTCGTTACCATCACGACAATAAATGAACACACGTCTAACGCTACTTGCCAATAATCATAAAAAAATATTAAAGTTAAACAAAATCCATAATTAAAAAAAAATATTTTTCAAACAAACTAATTAAGTAAAAAAGAAACAAAATTTGTAACATCCTATACAACTCGCGCCTCAGCGTCTTATTACAAGCCTCTCCTTCTAACAGTATGTTGTCTCTTTAAAATTCATTCAACTTATTCATATGCTATGTGACCTTTACAAATGAACTTTACGTTACAGTTTTATACGTAAGGGTGATCTAAAATTCTTTGTTTTGGAAAATTTAATAACTCTGTAAATATTGATGTTTAAAGAATGTAAATGTTTAATACAATTTTAAAAAGTTATCCCCTATATGTGTGTTCATTTATTTTCGCGATTGTAAAGACACGCGGTATATAATTATATAGAGAGGGCCGATCCTGGGTAGGCGGCCGCTCTGTGCGGTCTCATGTCCCAAATTTGTCGACGGTATATAGCATAAAAAGGAAAGTAAACGAAAATCATTACGAAACCCATTTTGTGTATTTGTATATATATGTATATTATAAATAAAGTTTAATTCCCGTTGAACCGGTTCAAAAACCGGTTCACGTATTTGTTTCGTTTCGGTTCAGCAGAAAAAAAACGTTCCGGACTCCGGTTCACGGTCCGGACAAACAAGTCGGTTCGTTCCGGTTTTCGTTCCGGTTCGGGTTCGGTTCAAACCCTTTTTTATAATAATACATATAAAAATTCGTCAAAAATAAGAAAAAATATTTTTTCGTTATCAGAAATCATCTTTAGTTCCGGAACGCGTTCCTGTCCAAAAAGGAAGTACCGGAACGACATTCCGGAGCGTTCCGGCTCGACAACACCACTGCCCACCGGGGAACTGTTTACAGCGTTGATCATTCTTTAATCACATTTTGCGTCTATAACGTACTGCGAAAAGGTCTTGTTTACCTGGTACAACAAGAAAGTAAATAAATAACCCCAAATGAGTCCCAAATTAAGAACAGCTTGTACTTAGGGTAATGGATAACTAATAAACATACTTTTCTTTTGTAAATAAATCATATTATAAATGTATAAACGTACCGACACTAGAAAAACAACCATTTTCATCTCGCATATTTTACCAGTAGTAGGGATCGAACCCACACCCTCTGGCGCACGAAGGTTTCCAATACGCCAGTTGCAGTGTCAAATGTTGCAGTCTGATGTATTTTCACGAATTTTCAGTGGTGGCAACACAGAATCGCGTGTGGCACGTCATCAATTTGCTCGAGCCGCTGAGTGAGGAGCAAGTAGAGCCTGCAGAGCTGCTGGAACGGCTGACGCAGGCACTGAGCAATGCTCGCGTCGGCAAGAATATGACTCCCGAGGTATTAACAATGAGTTTCTTGGAAAATGCTTTTTTTTAAATTGCCCTTAGTGTAGGATAACATTATCCATTGTGTTGTAAGGATTTTTTTACATATATAAATTTCACGTGGACAAACACCCAGAACCGAAACTATCTGCGGGTCACACAAAATAGTTGTTATTCCCGTGTGAGAATCGAACCCACGACCCCCGGCGCTGAAGCATTTATTACCTCCTACGGCGTCCTCAACAACGTCAACTGGTTATTGCCGCCCATGGACATCTTAAAGACCAGAGCTGTGCGAGCGTTCTCAAACTTTAGAAACAGTAATCACATACACCAGACGAAACGCAGAAGTATAATTTCTTCTACTTCACTGCAAGTTATATTTTATGTCTTTAAGTTTCTTCAAAACGAAATTGTTCATTTTCCAGGTCCAAACGGTCCAGCTAGGCGAGCTGGTGTTCGCCAGTGTGCAGCTTACTTCAAACACCAGGTCCAGTGCTCCGTTGTATCTAGCAACACCCCCAGGAACCCCAGTGGCCCTAACTAGTTCTGCACGTTCTGGAGGGTTGTTGAAGGCCTGTGTACAAGGTACTTAGAAGTTTTTAAATGTTGAGCTCGGAAATAGCAATTCTGTTATTGAAAGGTAACAAGGCGCTGACTATGTTCAAAGTTCGATCAATGGGAGTGCAATATTTTAAATATTTTACATATATATACATTCCGCTTCGTATTCTCGTACGGAACGGACCTCTCTCTAAGACGGAGGGCTAATGCCACCCGAATTAGACGCTACTCGCAACTTCGGTTGCAATTTAAATCTTTGTGCAAGCAGTGCAGTAGTTTAGTGTTAGTGTTGTGCTCATAGGCAGGTTCCTGTTCTGTAAGTAGAATTCTATACTCACTTCTCGCCGCAGAGGCGGCATTGTTTTTATTTAATAACTGTGTGCTTGGTGCGATAGGCGACAGCTAGGTACCCACCCTAGCGCACCTAAAGCGCAGGCGGATTAGTGGTTAGTTTTAGGCACATACCTCCCTGCCGCAAGCTGGGGTGGCCTATTTAGTAACCTACACGCCGGCGGGGCGCAAGCCCCAAAGGCTCAGGCGCTCGAAACGGGTTCCCTCCTAGAGGAATTCCTTCGCCAACGATGTCCTGAAGTGTGGGCAAACTTTCTCGCGTTCGCGAAAGAAAAATGTTTAGTCGTCGAGTTCGCCAGCGACAGCCCGGCTTCACCGGCAGTCGCCTCGCCGTCATCTCCGGCGCCCTCTGCGCCCGCTAATGCGTCGCCTTCAGCGACACAAGAAAAGCCCGTCGCGTCGACCTCCGCCGCCGCGATCGTACCCATCGCGCCTTCCGCGCATCCCATCTCGGCCCCCTTCCGCGCCGTCGTTCCCGACTCAACAACCCCCGCTGAAAACGCGAACGTCGACGGCTTCACCGTCGTAAAGTCGCGTAAGAAGGGCAAAAAACGCTCCGCTGCCGACAGCGACCCCAAATGCAAGGCCGCTTCAACTAACCAACCCACCGCGCCCCCGCCAAAAAGGCGGCCGCAGCGGCTAAACCGATGCCCGAATTCGCCTCCGAGCGAAAAACAAAGCCTCCTCCACCCATCATCATTCAGGAGAAGGCTAAGTGGCACCAAATTTGTTCGTGGTTTGAACGCCACAATATCCGCGACCCCCGGTCGAAAAATACAGAAATGGGTATCCGCGTATACCTTGACACAACGGACGATATCCGCCGCGTAACGAAATACTTGCGCGAAAATAAGATAGGTTTTCACACCTACTCTTTGCCCGAAGAACGCAAGCTTCGGGTAGTTATCAAGGGCGTTCCCAAAGAGTCGGATGTCGGTCGACAATGCGAAAACCGACATCCGCACTCAGGGATATCCTGTGCATGCCGTCCGACGCCTCAGACACCCCAGAACCCGTGTCCCTATGGACATGGTGATGGTTGAACTTGACCCTACCCCGGAAGGTAAGGCCATCTTCAACCTGAAGAGGGTCTGTGGGCTCAGCGACCTCGTGATCGAGCCCCCGCGAAGATCGGGAGTTGTGGCGCAGTGCCACAACTGCCAACACTATGGCCACACGGCTAATAATTGTTTCGCTCACCCTAGGTGCGTCAAATGCACCGGTGACCACGGCACGCCCGATTGTACGCGGCCAAAAGATTGCGCAGATCCACCGGACTACGTTAACTGTCATACCACCGGCCACCCGGCTAGCTACAGGGGCTGCGCTAAGGCCCCAAAAACTCCCGCGAAATCTACTTTGCCCAAACCCGCGCCCGTGAAATACGTTCCCGCGCCCGTACCCGTCGTAAACGCCTGGGCGAAACCCCAGGTGGCCGCGCAGCTAGTTGCGCCCCCGGAAGCCTCACGACCAATCACTCTATCGCAGCCCGCCTATCAAACGGCGCCGACGCCGCAAGTGCAGTCGACACCGTCGGTTTTCGCCGAAAACAAGGACGACCCGTTCGCCCAAATCGCCAAGATCTGCGCCTTATTAGACCGCATTAATAGACAAGAACTCGCCGTATTGTCCGCTAAAATAGCGGCTGCCACATCTGGCACCGCGCGATTTAAAGCCATTAGCGAACATCAAAAGCTTGTAGAAGCCCTCTGGGCATTTACAAGCCAAATATAAACTTAATAGTCCGCGCAATTTAACCGCGCTCCGCCGCGTCATTACTTAGAACTCATAAAAAACTTTAATGGGAAGTACAACCGCAGGTAGAACAAAACCTCGGGCTCTGGTTGTTTCGTATTTCAACGCAAACGGCATTAAGGGTCAAAGGGACGAAATCGCAGATTTCCTTCACGATTATAATGTAGATATTTTTCTAGTGCAAGAGACCTTCTTAAAATCTAGTGTTCGCGATCCCAGAATCGCAAACTACAACAGAGTCCGCCAAGACCGGTTAGCAAACCGTTTGGGAGGCACCTTAATTTATTACAAATGGTCCTTGCACTGTAGCCCGCTCGACATTCCAGAGCTAAGCCATATAGATGCATCCGCGTGTAGGTTAGCGCTCACCGGCCAAAGGCCGCTTGTACTAGTCTCAGCCTACCACTCGATGAACAAAACCTTATTACAAAGCGACCTAGATACGCTACTCAACTTAGGCCCTTCCGTCATAATTACAGGAGATCTAAACTGCAAACACGGCTCATGGGACATCCACAGCATCCCAAATAACAACGGAAAGCATCTCTTCAGCTTACCCGATAATTTAAACTTTAGCATAATTGCTCCTGCGACGCCCAGTAGGTATCCTACGGTGGACAACTACCAACACGCGACACCGAGTATCCTAGATATCATGTTATTCAAGGAGGTCTCACTCGACATCGAGTCGATAGAGACAATCCATGAACTAGATTCAGATCACAGGCCCGTCCTGTGTAAACTGGGCCAGAACGCCGGCGCGGTCCCTCCGACCAAACTCGTAGTGGACTGGCATCGTCTTGAGGTCAAACTCAAGGCCTTGGACCCCCAGGACTTAGTCGACCTACCCGAGACGATAGCTACGTTCGATGACGCAAATCGAGCGATAGCAAGTCTCCGAGAAACTATCACTTCCACAGTCGCAGACTCGGAACGGACGGTTAAACTGTCGGGCGACCGACGGTTTAACTTTCCGCCCGACCTGCGACTGCTAATTAGGCAGAAAAATGCAGCCAAACGCGCTTTCGACCGATACCGATCGGAATCGAACCGAACCCTACTTCGACGCCTTCAGCTAGAAGTCAATGATCGTGTATCGGAACACCGACATACAACGTGGGACAATCTCCTAGAGGACATCGAGCCATCGCACACCGCCTACTGGCGGTTGGCCCGTAGTCTGAAAGCAGACCCCCGCGAATCGCTACCGCCGTTAGTTCGACCTAATAGCGCTTCAGTAGCCCTAGATGACTCCGAAAAAGCCGAATGCCTTGCTGACAACCTAGAGCAGCAATGTACGCCATCGCGCGAACGCATCGATTCAGCCCACCTAACGGAGGTGGACCGTGTAATCGAGATTAGGGCTGCGCTTCCACCGGAAGGCGATCCTTTGAATTCAGTGACCCCCGAAGAGGTTCAAGATATTATTAAAAACTTAAAACCCAAATCCGCCCCGGGCCCAGATAATATTAGTAACAAAATTCTTAAAGCTCTCCCTGGGCCGCTTATCTGTTTACTGGCGACCATTTACAATACTTTACTCTCCAGTTGCTCCTTTCCGACGACGAAAGAAGCCAGGGTTATCGGCATTCGCAAGCCGAATAAACAAGCCAACGAGCCCTCTAGTTATCGTCCCATCAGCCTCCTCAGTTGCCTGGGGAAGCTCTACGAACGGCTTTTATTAAACAGGCTCAATGAGCACGTGTTTTCCAACGGCCTTCTGCCGGCGGAACAATTCGGCTTTCGAGCTAGACATTCCTGTCCCGATCAACTATTCCGCCTAACGGAACATATTCTAAAAGGCCTAAATCACCCTAAACATATTAGTACAGGGGCTCTTTTCTTCGACGTCGCAAAAGCATTCGACAAAGTCTGGCACAACGGCTTGCTTTACAAGCTGTACACACTCAAAGTGCCAGATAGGCTCGTAAACACCATCCGGGCCTTCCTGTCGAACCGCTCTTTTCGATATCGAGTTGATAGCCACTCAACTGCAAAGCGCTGCCGACCGCCTCGGCGATTGTTTTCGCAAATGGAGAATAGAAAAAATCCCGAAAAGAGTGTGGCGATTCACTTCACACGAAGTACTTACCCGTCACATCTTTATGATGGCCCTCGTCAATGCAGAAAGTTGGGGCAAATATCCCTTTATGGCCAACCGCTCCCCTGGGAGAAAAAGGTCAAATACTTAGAATTACTTTTGACTCGCGTAGTAAATGTACTACGCACATTAATAACGTTCGCAATAGAGCCGCGTTCGTCTCCGGCCGGCTACACAATTTAACTAACGCTAAAAGCAAAATGCCCTTAAGGCACAAATTATTATTATATAAGACCTGCGTACGACCTATTATGTCTTACGCATGCATGACCTTCGCCCACACGCACCTTACTCGCTTGTACAAGTTGCAAATAGTACAAAATAAGTTCATCCGCCGCGCAACCGGTGCGTTGTGGTATCAACGCAACGTCGACCTGCACAGCGATTGCAGACTCCCGACGATTCGCGAATATTTTAAAGACCTGACCAAACGGTTCTTCAATAGAGCCGAACATCATCCCAACCCTCTGGTGGTAAGCGCAGGAAATTACCAACCCGACACAAACGCAAACGTCAACAAGCGTCGCCCGCGAAATGTCCTAATCGATCGAGGAGGGGGACACGCCGGCACCGCCGGGTTTCCCGCCGGACAACACACACCCACGTTACACAAGTTCGCCCTCGCCTCCGACACGGCGAGACCAACACAACGCGTACACAAGGTACACCCGCGGGGGGGGGTTCTCACCGCCCCCAGCCACCGATTAGCTAATTGCACAGTCGACGGCCATCGGGGTTTCGGTCCGAACCACGACCTCGATGGCCCTTAGATGACACACCATAGTTAAACGCACGCATGAGCACATGCGTGGCCCTACCCACAGCGGAGGGCCCAAACCCGTGGGTTCTGGCTAACCCACCGGTTCTGCGTCAGATGAAGCTTTAATAGTCTCGAGACTGAAAGCAAAAACATCAGTTAATACAAGATACATACATATACTTGCAACAGAGCCGTGTCTGTTACTTCTGTTTGTTATTCATTATACTCAAGCATGCCAAGTTCAAGCCCCGTGCCAGCACCAATGAAATTATTAATTTCACTTGCTAGCTCATCACATGCTCAGTGTAGGAAAAAATGTTTTTAACATAATTATGTAAGGTTTGCCAATCCACACTGGGGTTGTGTGGTCTACTATAACCTAGTACCCTCTGTACAGAGGTCCTTGCAGTGCAGAGGGACATTATTGGCTTTTTTTATGTGATAAAGTGGCAAACGAGCTGGCGGTTCACCTAATTTTAAGTGCCTACCCATGGACATTTGCAACACCCATAGGGTTGCAGATGCGTAGCCACCTCTTAGTAAAGTGGGCCCCGGCTACCTCAGTCACCACACGAAACGCAGAAGTATAACACTTCCACTTTACGCCGGTCTTCTGTGAGGTCGTGGTACTGACCCTGACGGACCTGCCCATTCGTGCAACAGCGAACACTGTTGCGTGGGCCTACCACCGTTAAATGGCTGACACTATACTTTTACCCGCTACAGTGTTTTATGTCTCTATAGGGCTGGGCTACAACGCTTTCGAGTACGCGAACCTGTACGGGCGGGACATCACTTCGCTGCTTCGCGTCCACGCTGGCTGGGGCGAGAACGTGGACAATTGGTCGGAGGCGCCCGAGTACGCTCCCGTACCGGTCGTGACCGAAACCGGTATCGACTACACCAACAGGGAGTACGACGAGCGGTACGTGGAGACCGTCCTGGGGCCCAACCCGCCCCACCTCACGGACCTGTGCGTGACGAGCGCCAGGCCGTTCTTCGACCCGACGAGGCTCAACAAGCCTATGAACCTGACCCTGCAGCTGAAGAGCGAAGACGTGGCGCGGACTCTCAAGTTGTGGGTGCAGAAGGGCGCGATAGCCCCCACCTCCAGCTTGTTCAACGTGTTCAAGATGAAATCGAACAGGATAGATTTAGCGGCGGACGAAAACGATGAACTCTCTCCTTGACGCTGTTGATTACAAGCGGTGAATGTATACTATAGTGCATTCACAGTGCGATTATAATTGAGCATCTTTCCCTGTCCAATATTAATTTAAAAGTTATATTTGATATTTCATGTTACTGCACCTGAATATTGTTCAAAATCTTATTCAGTCGCAACTACCTATTGGTGCAATATTGTAGTACTGTTGTGTATGATACATTGGACAGGTAAGATGAATGCATTAATTGGATCAAACAACATACTGATATTTTTTTTGTGAAAAGAAAAATGGATGAAAATTTTTTCCCTGTGCATATAATGCGAAAAATCTAAGTACCTTAGTACTACTTAAAACTAAACTACGTGATATTACGTTGAAATTTTCGTCGGGGTGGCAATCAGCCGTTTGCTTTTGATTTGAAGCGATTGGACGTGGGTTCGATCCTTGCAGCGATGAAAAAACTTTCTGAAAATTGTAATGCTGGTTGGTTTTCTAATGATTAAAAGAAAACACGTGTGAAATAGACAACTTTATTCATCCACCATATTCCATAATCGTAAACAATTCTTAGAGAACAAAGTACAGACTAGAAATATATGAAATCTAATTGTATATAGAGTGGTTCGTCGGATAAAATATTTAGTACTCGGAACTTAATTGTCACACCTTTGTTTACAAAATGTCGAATGATAAAATAAAAAAATGTTTACAAGCATGGGTTTAAATATGATTCCTAAGTGAAATATTTAAAAAAATGTCTAGGCAAAACTATTATACAAAGGTTTTGTCACTAGGTTTTACTCAATACCTTTTTGGACTTATATCATGATGGAGTGCACACGCGTAACCGAGTATTTAGAAGCATTGACAAGTCGGAACTCGTAAACGCAAACTAATTCGTCATTAGAACTTATCGTATTTAATACTATGTACTCCTTGCTTTACGAGTTCGACGCACGCATGTGTGAGTTAGGCGTATACCAATGCCAAAATATATTTAAATACAGACAGAAATGATATTCCGCTTCCTAATTAGACACGCCGCATACTTCTAATTACACGTGGAACAAGTCTCTGGAACGCGTATTTATACGTACGTATTGGTGAGATCGGTACGTATTTTAACTGGTACGACTCATCTGTATTACACCATACCAACATATTAAAGAAACAATATTCAAACATCACGGCGACACAGGTATAAACCAAATAGTCACTGAAATAATAACGTATTTTTATAGTACATTTAAGTCCCGAGTGTGTCGTTAAGTAGTAAAAATGTTACAATTGTTATTTGGGTTTTTTAATTGTAACAAATTTAGCCTTATGACCGACGGTGTAAAGTATCGTAATATGCACGTTATATTACAAAGATAAGACTAAAATGTTATGCATAGTATGGCCCAAGTCTTGTGCATCATAACTTCAATTAAACGTTCAACATGGTCCAACGAACCGCTCGGTTATGAACTAAGAGAAAACAACACCTCAATTCCATAACAAAAAAACGCATATTTATACTCTCATCTGTCCCTCCCACACCGGGATGCTGACTAGACCGGCCGAATGGCGATAATTTTATTTCTTTAGGTTCAAACGACTCCTGCACTCATCCTTGAACGGAAGCCCGCGAAATGTTACGTCAAACGTCGGAATAACAAAACGTCACAAACATTATTTGCAAATCCAGGGTAAATGTGGTACCTAAGTATATATCTTTGCCAAAATATATTTTTAATCGCATATCCTGACGGCATCCCTGACAAAATGCAAGACGTGAGACTCTCAAAACTATATATATGCCACAAATAAGGCATCGGCATCTAGTTAATTCAAATATACAACAAACAAATCGACAACGACGAAATCCCATCGTTAGTGATGAGAATTGGATAGGGAACACTTAAGGATTTCCCATAATGATTTATTTATTAAATTTAGTTTTGTTATTCCAAGTTCTAATATGACTCATTTAGTCAGCTGTAATAACAGTTTTAATCTAATATAAAAAAAAACAAATCAAGGAACAATAATAGACGAACTTATTTCTATTATAATCTATTATCTGTGGCTAGGCCTAACGGTATGAGTGGGTGATGACAACGCTACGAAAATCTATCTGAAAAAAACTACGGTTACCCAACTTTAAGAACTGCCAGTGCTCTAGAAATTGTTGTTTTGAGCGAGCATTACGTCCGTATAAGAAACTATTGATATAAACTTTGCAAATTCCCGCGATACAAGAATATTTTTGTAGTGTATTTCGTATTTCGTTTCGGACGTCCTGTATAATAATGCAAACCTACTAAAGCTCACTGTTCCGGCTGTAAGTCCTTTTTGTTTTGTGTACAACAATCTATAGGCCACCATAAATTATACTGGTTCGATGTTGTCATCACCGCCCGCGCATTGGCAAACGATCATCCACAAAGCCTTAAACCTAGAACCTGATATACGCTATGAAAAGGCAAATCAATATTTAAAAAAAAAATCAAAATATGGCAACACCAATTGCACCATGACCGAATGACACTCGAGATCACACAGTTGATACGAACCCCGCACCATGGAAGCTTAATAAAAAAAACTTATACTAAGGCTGTCTCTCAATGGAAGTATTATAAAAGAACTACGCACTGGTGCCAAAATAGGTGTCTGATCTATTTCTGTACGATTCCCGTACATATTTTATAGTCTAAGAATTACATTTGATGTTTGCTTAAGAAATGAACGAGACGTATGCCATAACCACCTATTTACTTTTGTAAGTCTTGATGCAACACCAATCAACTACTTTCACTATCAAAGAAATAATTCTTTATTATAGTTTTGGGATTTCTCTATAGAGTTTAATATCAGGGGATAACCCTGAATGCAAGACGGAAAAAATACCCAGACGCAATGCAAGTTGGGAGGAGTTATCAACCTTAATTGTGATGGCAGAAATGGTTTTCAGAAATATTGCAATATTTGTATTTCGTGGTAAATTTGTAAATTAGACAGACGCCACCGCACGAGCTATCTCTTTATTCTCTTCTGTTTTTGTTACGATAAAGTAACTGAAATAAAACGAAGGCAACCGTTACGGTTCAATTTCGAATGTGCCGATGTATACTCGAGCGATCCATTGTATAATAAATGCACGTTTTTCCGCCGCAAGCGAACGATTTAGGTTAAGTAACGGTTTATTTTTGAAAAACGAAAAATTCTGTTATACAAAACAGAATTTTTTCGTTTTTGAATTTTTGATTGACCACGTGATTTATTTGCTAATAACACAAAACAGTTATACAACAAACATTTAAGATTCTCAGTGGGGACTTTTTCCCCGAAACGCTTTAAATATAACGAGACGTTGACTCTATCTGTAACCGATCGTTTCCATAGTGGGCAAACGATATATCTTAAAAGCATACGCTTGAATATTGCTGTTTTTTTTTGTTAAATTATCTAAAATAATATAACTGGGTCATGTACAAAATCATCCCTCAGAAATTTCGCCATTAAGTAATTCAAATTTTACAAATTACCGCTTAACCTAGCCTATCAAGTCATCAGTAGCTGAGAAATTCGTACAATTACCCCCATGGAGAAACTGTCTATACAAAAAAGCAAATTAACAATGTACGAATAATGACACATACGAAAATATTCTGGCGATGACTAATGCGAATTCTTTTGGCACAAACCACTATTTTCAAACTCAACGCCTAAGTGTCAAATCAGCGCCAATGATTTATAATTTATATTTACAAACAATTTTTAGTATAAGAAAAAAAAAACAATTTTAGCACCAAGTTTAAGAACGCAACAGCGTCAAATTAACATAGAGCAAGCTATAATATATATTACTTTTTTATATTGCAACACTAAGATCCAAGCTAGCAATTTTAACACTAGGGAGACATCGAAAACTTGCCGCACGCCATCTATAGTTATCTAAGAACGAAGTATTAAAATTTTCATCCCTCCCTAAGGGGCGGCCCTTATCCTAGAACACTTGAAAAGTAGTAATATTAATATTATAATAGAATTTTGTACTGAAAAACGGCAGATATCCATTCCCGTACCATACTTAACCACTGACCACGGAGTACAAATTTGACTTATATTTGATATATCCCGATGGGGCATATATGATGTAATTTTACAGAAGTGATCGAAGAATGAATGAATGAATGATTTCGCCCCAACGCCATCTGCGACCTAGGAGATCTATTGCAGTCTTCCCTTAAAAACATTGCCCCTTACTATAGAAAAAATAATCCTGTTATAAGGACGTTTTACATACATAAATTTCAACGAGGACAAACACCCAGATCCGAAATAATTATCTGTTGGTCACACATATAGTTGCCTCGTACGGGAATCGAACCCACGACCATCGGCAACTGCGAAACGGAGTCGACAAAAATGGGATAGATACTATAATCCGCAAAAACCACCGTCTCGTTGTGCCTGTTGACAGGCGAAAAGGCTATATGTGTTGGTGAAATGTGGACAGTGTAACAAAGTGTGGAAAACACCTTTTTTATAGTAGACTAGTGGACCCCACAGACATAGTTCTGTATCCACGACTTAAATCCAACAACAATTTATGACTAAAAAAAGAAAAAAAAAATGCTGTAGTGGACCGAATTGTGAATCTTAACTATTCATTCTTGAAAATTTCATTAAAATAGGTCCAGCCGTTTAGGAGCAGTTCGGTGACATACACACGTACAGAAGAATTATATGAATTATATACATATGATAGAATATATATTTATATACATATCCTAGGTCCCATTACAAGTGTCTATGACAGCTTACTGGGATTACTCGGCAACAAGTTGTATTGAAGATTATAGAAATGAATGAATTTCTATTTTATTTTTATTTAATCTACAGCAAAGTATATCCGTGGCCAGCAGCCATTATCCAATCTAGTCTACAATCACTTAGTGCCTTCTGATCACAGATTTTTCAACCCTGCCTATACCTCATCGCTGCCGCTACGAAATACATTAGGATGATTTTGCTTACACTATGTCTGTAATGTTACTTTTGAGATGATCAAAGTAGTATAATTTAAAAAACTAAAAAAACCGACTGCGTTTCTGTGTAATTTTTCATTTTCATACAGCCAGTGTCACTCTCACAGTAAATAAGAAAAAGTAAATCCATCAAGCCGTTAAAGGCTGCAGGGCGTGCCAAACAATTATACATACATACATACTCTCGAAAAACATAACCCTCCATCTGGCGCAGTCGGGTAAAAATTTTTGAAGGTGTACAAGGCAATAATTTTTTTTATATTGCTTCAATACTATAATTTTTGATAATAATATTTACAGTTTACTTCATCTTTTCATTTAGATCGTAGAATGATTAGAATGTAGTCGGTATTGATAGATTCGGCATTAGACATCGAGATGTTGTCTTGTGAAATATAATGTGTTATTTCATAGTCTGTTATTTTCTGATTCTTTCAAAACAGTAGCGGCAACTCGCATAACACACCTTACACAATTCTCACTCAAACCATTCACTTGGAATCCATCCAAATTTTCAAATCCGTAAATGATTTACTAACTAGATGTACTTATTTTAGTTAAAATTTTTCATACTAACACATACATTTTCAATGAACTAATATCTCATTCGTGAGGACCGACAGTCGCAAATTTTTATATATATATAAATAATATAATATATATATGTAGATAAAAATATTGCATTTTTGTAAATAAATGACATTTTTTAAATTACCTAAAATTCCCATTAGATTTACGTTCATTGGAGGCCACAATGGCTCCTGGATCTAGATGCTTAAGACTGAACTGAGAACATAAACCTTAAATAGTAACTTCTATAAAACTCCCGACATTTATCAGGGAATTACCCAATGACATGACATATTTTAACATGCGTTGAAGGATCTTAACAGCTAAATAACAGAGTAAGCACCAATAGAAAAACGAGACTTTTTATAAGTTCAACTTAATAAAAAATTCGTCCTAATTAAAAAAAAAACCTCACTTTGTCAATACAAAGTTTGATATTACACAATTGATATGAAATCTTTTCGCGAAAAGGGGAAAATGTAGTGATAAAAATGAAAGACAACATGCCTCACCACTAACAGATTAAAACCAATCTTAGTAATAATTGAGAGGCGTACTCTTTGTTTTACAAGCCTTTTTGACTAATACAAACAAATTATATGCTGAAGAATACAACAAAACATTGCACAGTATTCCCGCATGCTGTCATTAAAAAAATCTGCATATTTTATGGCACTTAAAACCATTGAAATAGGGGAGATTTTACAATGACTCCAATTCAACCATTCGGTTGCAACATACCAACATACATGGTTACCTTACTAGGCCGCTTTAAGATCTCTTCCATCACCGGTCTTCTTATGCTCCTCTGTTCCTTTATGGGACAGGGTCATATGGCGCCTGGAAATGTAACATACGTGGCAATTATAGGCAAGTTTTTCTTCACACAAATTAATTTTTTATGTGATATGTGGGTAAGCGGGCAGATGTTTCTGCCCGCTTACCCACTTACCCACTGATGTTAACTAATTTATTCATATGTTTTTTCATTACCAAATTATAGAGAACTGAGCACCGGTAACCTCACTCGCCAGACGAAACGCAAATGTTTTTTACATTTCCACGAAACGTTGGTAAGGTTGGGGTAGTTCACCGGCGAACCCATTAGTTCAACAGTAGAATCTGCTATGTGGCCCTGCCTAGATTTTAACACAGTGACTGTTAAAATCTAACTGTGGTAGGGCCATACAATAGTCTTCTCTGTTGCACGAATGGGCAGGTCCGTCCGTCTTGGTACCACAACCTCACAGAAGACAATGCATCTGGGACCCTACGAGTATTGTTAATGTCCATGGGCGGCGGTTAACACACAATATCAGGCCACCTTCTCACATAAAAAAAAAAGACTTCATTTAAATACATACCTAAGGCCACACTCCCCGCGGAATGATAGATTGCAGATTGGACAGTACCTCCACTCTTGTGCGTCCATCTGCACTGCATCCTTATTAGATATGGCAGCTTTATCACAATTTTCACTGGTAACATTCTCAGCATCTTCGTTCCGTGTGTTTATCTGTGGTGGACTGGCTTGTGTATCTGCGCGCTGTTTAGTCTGTTTCGTGACGGCCTTCTGTGACGCTGGCGACTTGAGTTTCCCTTTTACATCTGAAGGGGAAACAGGCAAATTATTGTTTGGATAAGCATTCCTGTAAAAGTATTAATTATAACTGTAATATGAAATTATGTGTGTATTTACAACACACATTAACAAGTGTGGATAAAAAACCTAATAAACCCAGATCTAAACACAAAAACATTTTCTAAAAACGTTTAAATTTATTTTTTTATTTTAAAACGTTTAAATCTGAGTAAAAAAAAAGCATTTTAATGGCTATACAATTTGATACTACTTAAAACACTGTTTACACTGTAATAACAAAAATTATGGTCCTTCGAGCCAATATTACAAACGAGTTGGTTGAACCAGAAAAAAGCGTCACTAAAGACAGCCATTAGTTACGGTATAACACTTATCCATTGAGTCAAGTGAGTTATTAGTTGTCTTTGGATTTCTCCATGCCGACTATTTATCAACAATTATACTACCATTTTCTAAAACCAGTCAAGTAAGTCGGTATGGAGAGTAAGAAGCACTGTCTCGTATTGAGGAACAGCTACAAGTGTCCAGCTGTAAGCAGTACATAACAGTTCCAAATCCCTCCAGAATGACGCTACAGTAGCAAGAGGGTGTGATTATTTATCTTGTGGAGTTGAACTTTAGTAACAAATAACCTTGGTAACTATTAATTCATCACCACTACCTAATACTCAAATACTAATGTAGCGCCACCAAATTATCGCCTTTTGTATAACCCTTTTAATAAACTGAGATTGTTCCCCTTACTACTATGCTTCAAAAACTAGCAGGTACTTATGGTTTGCAGGACAGCTGTAACCTAATTAGTATATCCAATGTCTATGGGCCATTGGGTAACACTTGCCTTTAGTGACGATAACTATATTGGGCACCCCCATAACATTGTCTGGTGACTCGCTCTGGCTGTTCCTAGTGTCAACGTCGACACGGCTCAATGGTATGGCTTCGTCGCTGGAGCCATCGCTGTCACTACGATTCCTAATAGACTGGTGCTTCTTCACGCGCTTTCTGAATCTAAAAATAATGCATAGACTTCTTTAATATTTAATGGTTAAGTAGATGAAGATTGAAGGCATTAAACTAAACTGAGGCCGGTCAATTTTATCCTGTGCCGAAGGATGTATTACATATTCCAATTTACGTGCACAAACACCAGGCTCGGGTACAATTAACTATGGAACACAAGTGTTTGTCACATAGGGAATTGCGCTCCCAACCTGACGAAATCAATTCTCTAAGAATTGATTTCGTCAGGTTGGGAGAGGAGCTAAGAAGATTGCGCCGATAATTTTCTGCGTAGATATTACCATCTTCCTATTTGGAACTAAATTGGATTTGTGAAACAATAATAGGTCTCTACTCAATTGTATTAGTCCTTTTCTGAAAAGAAATTTCTTTGAAACCAAATTCCTATCATAGTGCAGCCATGAACCATTGTCTGATGCCATATAAATGAGTTGACTGGGTACTATGGTCCTTTGAAGATTGATGAAAGGAGTAACTGAAGCACCTCTCTTTTAACAATGCAACTTGACGCTAGTATACATGGATCACAAACATGTTTCCCCCAAATTCTTATTAGCACTAATCTACAATATTTTGCACTGCTCACTTTTTTCTTGGTCTCTTGCAAACTGTTTTATTTATTTTGGTCTCCTCATTGTTATTTATATTTATATACTTTTCACAGGTGGTGAGGGCCCTATCGGGATCCGTACTGCTGGAGAGGGAACTCTTGTCGCAAGCAAAGAGGTCTGTCTCATTGCTTAGTTCATTGCTGTCTATCTGATCACTGGAACAAAAAAAAATAAATAGAGCTGTAATGGAGTACTGATTTATTACAGTTGTATGCTCAAATGTTAATGGTTAAATCAACTGACATATTATGCTATGCAATGATATTGTTGATTTTGTATGGGATTACAACCAACATGATAGTTTTTATAGATAATGGTACGGAACCCTTTGTGCGCGAGTCCCCCTCGCACTTGGCCAGTTTTGATTATTTATTTAATCAAATTATTATTAATGTATGTAAATAACAAAAACCATATTGTAATCTAAAAACATACACAAGATGTGATTTGTAAATTACATACTCAGAAATATGGTCAGTATCTCCATGAGCAGACTTGTTTCAAGCAAGACATCAACAGTTAACAGTGGTAGGGCTACTCAACAGTTTTCAATGCATCCTTACAGTAGACCAGCGAGAAATGGAAGTGTTACACTCCTGCGTTTCATGTGGTGAGTGAGGTCACATTATTTAAAAGTAAAATTTTTAACCTGAAAAAATTGTTTGGTAAAGAATAAACACATGAAATATCAATCAACAAACAGAATTCTCCGGTAAGTTATAGTTTTCAAAACATCCGGAATTCATAGATATAATGTTAATCATAATACCTAAGTGTTAATAACTTTTGCCACCTTACTGTAATAAATAACTTTGCTTAATTGCATTAATATTATTATTTTTAAATCGGAAAATTGTTATTTTACCTTTGTTACAATACTGTTGTCAATAACTTTATTAATAAATCATATAACTTTCTTCTTGCAATTTTATTATTAATTTTAAATTAGAAAAGGTGACTTACCTACAATCTGACAGGTCACTTTGGGTACCAGTCCCTTCCAGTTTTTTAATTTGAAACGTTATATTTATCCTTTTATAAATCTCTTCAGTAATGTTGCGACACTTTTCGTACTTTGGATTAAGAGATTCGCCAGGAATCTTCGACCAAACAGGGTTTTGTAATGTAGACATTCTATTGTTCTAAACAGAATCTAAGAAGATTCTTTATATATATACACTTATTTTAAGCTGATTTGGAAGATGTATGCTAATGCAGCCATGTTAAACGTATTACAAATTGCGATATGTTACGGAACGAAAAACGATGATTACACTAAAATGGCGGGATTCGGGAAATTAATGTGCTGCGACAACGATATGTTGGCTCCATCCAACGCATGTACTTCTTCTCATTATTTTTGCATGTTTAAGATAAGAGTTCATTTTAATTGTTCCACAATTTTTGATATTTCCAAACAAAGGCTCGTCAATCAAAACCTTAATGGCACAACAGTTGTTATTAAGAGTTCTAAGAGGTTTGAATAATATATAGCTAAGACTAGACAACAAACATGGTTTCTGCGCTCTCATAGAGCGCTATTTATCAATTAAAAAACACAAATAATATTAAAAACTAAATTAAAACTAAAGAATAGGTATTTGCGGTGTTTTCCTTTTTTTAAAGGGTTTTTTGACGTTTTATGTTTAGTGTTGCTTGACATTAATTGCTCATAATTTTCATGAAAAATTACCATCCGCCATAGGCAACCCATTCATTTCCTCCGCAACAAAAGTCTTTTAACTTTTAATTATAAAGTAACAACTTTAATAAATTCTTGATAATGGTTTATGGATAGTACAAGGTATTTTGAAACAATCCTCTATTATACCACTATTAAATTTTAATTCTCAGCGTAGTTTAGTAAGAAGAGATTCACGTTTCGTTTTGCCACTAGACTGTCATGTCATTTAAAAATGTCATTTCAAATATTTATTTTCATTTTGTCTATTGATACTTTTTCACATTTATTCATTAACGTTTAAAATATATATTGTACTTTTTGTAAATATTGAATCAATTGATAACGCATTAGCATAAATAATTCAGATATTTAATATTCTGGTTAAAGTTAGTTGTTTTTCAACGAAAATAATATAAGGAATTATGGTTTGAATTTATTTCGCAACTCTGCTAGCTATTCCCGCCAAATGTTTATCAGCTAGCTATTGGGAAGTCTAGCCATTTTTGTTATGATGCGGCTGATTGAAATGTAGAATAATGAGTTCCTAACTTCTTTTTAGTTTTCTGTTAATGTTATAGAGCTTGTTATATTAAGTGACAAATATGTCTTGCAAAAAAGGAGGTAAATCAAAACGACATTTTCTTTTAGCTAAGCTCGTTACTGAAAGTGATAAAAGTGCTCCTTGTGCATTTTGTAACCGTGATGTTGACGATGAAATTATTTATGGCAAATTATACTCTATCGGTGATATACAGTGTCATTATTTCTGTGTGGTGAGTTAAGTTGTTTATTTTACTAACCATTTATAACAAAATATAATACACTACATTGTATTAATAGTCATTTATTTCGATGGGAAATACTAAAGAAGTAATATTTAATTATAGTATACAATTATTTATTTGGCTCTGGTTTAGTTGAATATGTAATAATTATGATTAATAAGTTATAAAAATATTTATAGTATGAAATGGTCCCAATGTATGTATAAGATAGTACAATCATTAATTTTTATAGATGTTAAATATGCATACAAGCAAGGGTGGAATGATTAAGGTCAGTTAGCATCACAGAAAATCAAAATTGTTTTTCTGTATTCACAAAATTTAGACAGTAAAGAAAACCAAGTACAGTCTAAAGTTTCATGCTGTTGTAATACATCTTGTACATCTTCGTGTCATTGTGACATCTTGTACATCGTCATGTGATACATCTTGCTCTCTCAGAGTTTATGATTTGTTTTGTACTATGCCCTATAAACAGGGTCCATAAAGAACTATTTTATTAATTACCCTAACACCTTTTTGTTACTTAATGGATGTGCAATAAATAAATAAATAAATAAATAATATATTTGAATGGGCCAAGTGGAAATGAGTGATGTTTCTTGGAAGACCATTTTGATTCTGAAGTAAAGTTACTATTAGCTTATTTATTAATTATCACCAACAAAGTATACACCAAAACAGAATAAATATACAGGGCTTACAAAAAAGTGATGAGAGTACCTTAATTATAGATAAGACTACTTATTAACCGATAATAGAGACACCCAAAAAATTGTTACAAAACTAAAGGTGAAATACGAACATTATAATACTGTACCAAAGTAGTGCTAAATTTTACCCTAAGATCAAATTTGAACAAACAAATTTGATCGAAGTTGAACATAGGCCCCCCTTAGAACACCACAAAGACCACACTTTGCCCTTTGCATACACCAGTTGCTCCTAAGGTCATGTTTGTATTTAAATATTTGTGACTGTTCTATTCTAATGAAATTAGAATATGATAGTCAATCTATTAAAAATAACTGGATAATCTGCTACATTCCTAATTATCATGCAATTTCAGCTCCTGTCATGCTGTTTGGTGCAGAAGGGTAAAGACGAGGAGGGCCTTTTTGGATTCCTTTATCCGGACATCATTGCCGAAATTGAGAGGAGTAAAAAGCATGTAAGGATTGTCTCTCTTGAATTGCCATTTTTGTAATTTACCTTTAATTTTAACTTTTTCAATAGAATATTCAAGTTGTTTTACCGTGGCTTTTCTGTGACTGAACAACTGGCTCTATCCAGGATACAATATAATATCATAGAATTCTGTTCACTATTTCCATCCATTGCTGCTTATAAGTAGAGTAATAACTTACTATCATGTGAACTGCTTGTATAGTTGTCTTCCATAAAAGAGATTTTATTTTTGAGAGATGAAATTTTTTCTCAATAATTTCAGAAATGTTCATACTGCGGGCGTGATGGGGCAACATTAGGGTGCAGTGTGTCGCAGTGCCGCAAGCAATTCCACCTGCCGTGTGGAAGGGAGAGAAATGCAGTCTCCCTCTTCTACGGTAACTTTAAGTGAGTGATACTTTTGAAAGTACTCTGACAGGCTATGACGAGGTTTTGGCACATTTGTCAGACTGATAAGCTTATTATCCTTAATGTCCATTTGATAAGCTCCGAATGTCCCATTAGAGATTTCCATATTAAGAACTTAAAAACTTCTTTTTGGAACTTTGTCTTCTTTTGTATGTTATATTTTTAATGCAGCTATTTATATTTCAGATCATTTTGTGAGAAGCACGCCCCAAGGCAGAGGCTAAATGACGAAATAATGGCCAAGGTTAAGGTCCGCAAATCGCAAAGAAAGAAGTTGTCTCCACCAAAAAGCTTAGAGATAGCAGCGAATAATATGAGTAGTTTGAATATATCAGACGGTGGTAATGAGAATCCACCGTGTGTAGAAGGTATGTAAGAGTTTATATTATTCATGTACTTCTACATAGAAATTGCACTATTAAGTTATAAGTACCTGGAGGACCGAGCTTTGCTCCGTTTGTTTTATAAGAAAATATGAACTGGTGTTTTTCACAAAATCTAGTCAAAGTTATTTACTTTAAAAAAAAGGAAAAAAAATAACTTGTTCTACTTTATTGGGGTTGGCACAACATGTCAATGATTTAACGGTATTGACTAGGTTCGGGAACAAACACACAGCAGATGCAGAATAATTATCTGTGGGTCGCACAACCATCCAATCTCGTGTACGAATCGAATCGACGACCCCCGGCGACGAAGCCAATGGCTCAGCAACTGCGCATCAGTCTACTAAAGTTATGGTCAAAAATTATAGAAAAGCTTTGTTATTTTTTGTTTTTTTTAATTATTATTAAAAACATTGCCCTTACATTAGGATAATATAATCCTGTGCTGTAAGGACTTTTTACAACCATAAATTTCACGTGGACAAACACCCAGATGCGAAACAACTATCTGTGGGTCACACAAATAGTTGTCCCGTGTGGGAATCGAACCCACGACCCCCGACGCCGAAGCCAATACCTTGACAACTGCGCCACGGAGTCATCAAATAATAAATATAATATGAAATACAAAAAAGCTATCTATGTATGAAATACAAAAAAGCCTATGTATGTCCCACTGCTGGGCCAAGGCCTACTCTGTACAGAGGGTATCAGGGCATAGTACACCACGCGGCCCCACTGCGGATTGGCGGACTTCACATATCTTCGAAATATTTCTTTTTTATATTTCGAAAATATGCAGGTTTCCTCACGATGTTTTCCTTCACCGCTGAGCACGTGATAATTTCGGCAATTAAAATTAACAATTTCATTGGTGCCGGCATTAAAGGCGAGAGCACGGACACTGAGCTATCACGGCTCTTATCTATATAGTCAAAATATATATATATAATCAAAATACAAATAATAGTATAAAATAACAATTTTAATCGTACTAACGGCAGTCTCAGATGCAATTTTAACACTATCAATATCCTTCAGCGGAGCCAAACCAGGAGGTTGAGGCGGTCTGCGTGATATGCTACGAGAAAGTTGACGGATATCCCACTTTGAACACATTCTGGCCCCCTTGCTGTGCCAGGGACGCCTGGTTCCACCGGAATTGCTTACAGGTGAGTCAGACTAATTTGTTATTAGCAGCTGTAAGATTAGTGGCTTCAGGCATGAATTTGTGACAAACATTGTTCTTATTTAAATTTAAACGAAAATATCATGTAGCCCAGTAATATGCTTTACGTAATAGTAATACGCCCAGTATTATGCTTGCAACTATCTATACTCATTTAAATTTAAATGATGGTCAAGCACTGGTCGAGAAGAATTTAATGAGTCAAAAAAGGTCTTTTTTTTAAAGTGTGAGAAAAATTCACCTGACGGTGGATGATAACCACCGCCCATTGTCTAACCTAAGTCAAAAACGTAAATGTTATTATTTCACTCTGGTCTTGGTCTTCCTTATAGTCCCGGTACTTCCCCTACAACTTTATACTTGTATTTGTATTTTGTGTAGTAGGTGTTGGGTAGCAAGTTCAATTGACCACTGCAACCTAGAAGTTATTATAATACACCATTCCAAAACATACATAAATTTAATGTGGACAAACACCCAGAATCAAATTGGTTGGTTGTCTGTGGTTTTTTTACACAAATTCTCACCCGTGGGAATCAAACCCACGGCCTCCAGCGCTATAGCCAATACCTCGGCAACTGCGTCACGGAGTCATCAACTTAATACTTACACTGCAGTATCATTCTGTATCAGCAATCCTGCTATATATATTACAATCTGTCCTTTATCCGCAGAGAATGGCGTTGAGTGCGGGGATGCATTATCTAAAATGTCCACTTTGCAACCAGAAGGAAGCGTTCTACGAGGCAGTCTTGAGCCAAGGATACTATGTGCCGGATCGGTGGGTGATTTGTTAATTTTATAGCTACCCATAGCTTTTGTGGCTGTCTGCTCGACCAGGGAAGCCTCATGGCAATTTTTTTTTATGTGAAAAGTTTCCAAGTGAGCAGAAACCTGATGTTAACTGAATACCGCCGCCCATGGACATCTGCTACAACCGAGGGTTCCAGATGCGTTGACAACCTTTTGAAAATTGGGCTTCGGCCACCTCACTCACCAGACGAAATGCGAAAGTATTATACGTCCACTTTATGCTGACCTTCTGTGAGGTCGTAGTACTTACCCGGACGAGCCTACCCATTCGTGAAACAGCCGAGGCTGCTGTGTGGCCCTACCACCATTACTACATGTCATTACTATCAAGTATGTCTAGATCACTATAAAGTTGTAGGTTTTTTTGCGATCATAAATATAGATAAGTGATTTTATGTAAATCTATATAAGTGTTAAGTGGCTAAATTGTTGGCAAAAAATGCAAAAAAATTGCGTACTGCGCTCATATGCTCTAGCTAACTGAGCTAAGCAATCTATATCACCACGGCGTGTAAATCTCGACAGCTGTCTTCTTTCATTTTGCATTATTGGCAATGCTATTTAATTTGTGACGCCTTGCCGCCATGTGGCCTTATCCACCACATAAGAATCATGTTGTAAGTAGTTTTAGAAAGAGTTTTTACGACCAGCCGCTTGGCTGACATCAACCCTCGTTGGGAACAAACACCCAGATGCAGAACAATCATCTGTGGGTCGCACAAATACTTGTCCCGTGTGGGAATCGAACCCACGATCCTCGGCGCCGAAGCCAATGCTTTAGCAACAGCGCCGCCGCATCTAGCTTTAAGGAAAAAAAATATCCTAAAGAAAGTGTGGTAAAATTCTTTTTTCTTTCTTTCTTTTTTTTATAGCAAAACATTTCCCTCACTTTAGGATAACATTATCCTGTGTTGTAAGGACGTTTTACAAACATAAATTGCACGAGGACAAACACCCAGATCCTTGTGTGGTTTCGTTTTTTTCTTTCTTTCTTTTTTTTATAGCAAAACATTTCCCTCACTTTAGGATAACATTATCCTGTGTTGTAAGGACGTTTTACAAACATAAATTGCACGAGGACAAACACCCAGATGCGAAAAAATTATCTGCGGGTCACACAAATAGTTGTCACGTGTGGGAATCGAACCCACGACCCCCCCAACCTGAAGCCAATACCTTTGCAACTGCGCCATGGAGTCATCTAAAATATACTTCTATTCATGAAGTATGCCTTTGTTTCACAGTGATGCAGCTTGGGAGCTGGAACAGAATGCCTTCGCCGAGATATACGAGCGGCCCATCACCTGCTCGGCCACGGAGTGCGCCTGCCCGATGGGAAGGGATTATGATGCGGAAACAGGGTGAGCAATAAAAAAGTACCACAGTTTATGTAAAAAGAGTAAGCGGACAGGTGACTTACCTGATATTAAGGGACTACCGCCGCCTATGGACGTATACATACAAGGCCTGATGGGTTGCAAATGCATTGCCAATTAGTACGGTGTAACTCTTGTACCCATACACCACGGGCATTTTTAACTGTTTCTTAGATTTTAGATATTGGGTGTAACAGAAATTGAAACATATAACCGAAGTGATTGATTCTCCCATGAATAGTTCATCACATCTAATATATGACGGACCTGTTGGCATATCCTGAATGCGGTGAGCTTGGAAGACGTTTATTTTTGGATGGATTTGGATTTGATTTTCACTAAATTTAATGTAATAAAACAAAATCAGCATGGTTTCATAAAAAAGAAATCGACAACACATGCTGCGTTTACGTTAGTAAAGGAAGTCTTGCAAAATGTGAATCAAAAAAATTATACAACAGTACTATTTCTTGATATGTCTAAAGCATTCGATCGTGTCTCACATGATCAATTACTTGCCAAATTCGAGGCTAATGGAATAAGGGGTCCTGCTTACAGCTGGCTAGAAAGCTATTTAAAAAAATAGGTCACAGTGTGTTGAAATAACACAATTAGATCGAAATAACATAGCTCAGGTATATAGATCGGAATTAAAAAAAAAACACTTGGTGTTCCCCAAGGTAGTATACTTGGACCATTGCTATTTATATTATATATAAATGATTTACCCGATGTCTCAAACTACAAAATCACTAGAGCAACTTAAAACAGACATAATTAAAACAGTGAATTTAATAGATAAATGGTTAAATAAAAATAATCTACACATTAATTTAAGTAAGACGCATATTATTAATTTTAATAACTTAAATTTTGACATAAATATTAAATATAATGGACAATTACTGCGGAATGCTAATAATACAAAATTTCTAGGTTTAGTTATAGACTCTAATCTAAATTGGAAGGAACATATACATAAAGTATGTAACAAAATCAACAGATTTGTATACGCGTTACATAAATTAGCAAAAATATCAAACATAAATACGGCGATCACAGCGTATTTTGCACATATAGAATCTATTATCAGATACGGACTTATAATTTGGGGTAATGGCACAGAATGTAAAAAAGTATTTCTAGCCCAAAAGCGCTGTTATGAGCTCTTAGTAACATTTCATCATATATATCATGCAGGACTTATTTTAAGACCCTAAATATACTTCCTTTTCCTTGTCTCTATATATTTGAGGTTTGCAAATTTGTAAAACAAAACCAGAATATGTTTTTACAAGCTAAAGATGTGACAAAAATAAACTTACGGAACCAAGATAAATTAGTACTAGATACAATTCCTAAAAGTAAGCGATTTCAAAAAAATAGCTATGCAATGTGCAATACTATTTATAACAAGATACCCTCACATATAAAACAATTACCATATAATATGTTTAAAATTTCGTTACGACGATGGCTACTAGAGAATCTATTTTACACAATAAATGAGTTTTTAAATTGTAACACCTAATTAATGTTGTTAATATTATTTCATATATTATTTTTTTGTTTAAAATCGATGCATTAATTAATTAATATATCTATTAAAATTGTAGGACAATTTTAGTTACATGTAAAAAAAAAAAAAAAAAAAAAAAATTAGACAACTGTATTATAAAAATATATCTTCTGGACATTTGCATGCTGTTTAAAACAGCTAAATAGGTTAGGTTGACATTTGTGACAACAACAAGATAACAAGACCAAAAATTTTTTTTCTGTACTACCTATTTATCAGCAAATAAAGAAACTTAAACTGATGGGGAGTAGCTTTGCCCAGAAACCAAATTTCTACACATTTATTTGCGTCGTAGAAAAAATATAACACAGTTTACGAGTATTGCAAATATGCGTTAATTTCGTGCAACGAAAATCATACACAAGTAAATGTAAGCAATTTTCTGTTTTCGAATATCTTTTGTAATAAAGTCACCTTGCATTCTCCAGGGCTTGGGATATAAAGCTGTGCATACTGTGCGGCAGCTCGGGAGTGCACGCGCAATGCGCGCAGGCGGCCGCTGGTGGCGATGGCAGCGGTGGCAATGGTGGCAACGGTGGCAACGGTGGCAACAGTGGCAGCGATGGCAACGGTGGCGGCTGGGAAACGTACTTACGCCACGTGTGCGCCACCTGTGCTCCTGCCGCTCCCGTCGATCTGGACAAGCTTGTCGTCAGCATAGACACAGGTTGGCGCTGTGCTTTAACAGTTTTTAGAGTTTCGTACCCAAAGGGTAAAACGGGACCCTATTACTGAGACTCCGCTGTCTGTCCGTCTGTCACCAGGCTGTGGCTCACATGAACCGTGAGGAAATGTTTTGACAGTTGAAATTTTGATTTTTTTTGCCATTTTTATAGATAATGGTACGGAAGCCTTCGTGCGCGAATCCGATTCGCACTTGTTGTGAATAACAAGTGCGAAGAAGTGTATAAAATTGATAACTAACATGCACACAAATGAACTTGTGTGCGTGTTAGTTATGAATGATCGCGCGTAAAATAAATGAGTTGCGTATAAATCACGCACTTTTTGAGATAAGTTCAAGTGAATGTAATTAGTTACTTACGAGTGATTTAAATTATTTATCATTTTTTATGTCTCGAATGTAATAAAAAAAATGAATACACTTAGAGAAGCCTCCCTGTATAACATGTTAATGGGTCTTCATTGCGTTGCAGCCGAGGCGCCGGCAGCGGGGGCTGCGCCCGGTAGCGCGCGCGGGCGCCCCATGCCGTGCCGCATGTCGCTGCGGCGCACCAAGCAGCGGGCGCTTCGCCACCAGCGGTCGGTACCGGAGCCCCACCTCCAGATTGTTTGGCGTACACCGAAAGCGAGACGCCTTGACGCACATGCACAACATGATCCGGCTCGAAGGACCATGTTGGAGTATATAAGGATTGTAATTTTTAAATTCGGCTGTGGACTCAAACAACCTGAAATGATGTTGACGATGTTTCTTGTTTTTTAAATTTCTTTTACGAGTTTAATGTATTAAACTATTTACGGATAAGCGTTTATTCAACCAGTCTATGGGGGAGGCTTTTCGAAACCTTTTCATCGTTCATTGCCACGACAGACTGAGTCATTGGATGTCTGACAGAAAATTTGTAAATATATTTCATGCATGTTTGCTCCCATAGAGAGTAAACATAGGCAACGGCTTACGGTGGTAGGGCCACGCAACAGTGTTCGCTGTTGCACGAATGGGCAGGTCCGTCCAGGTTAGTACCACGACCTCACAGAAGACCGGCGTAAAGTAGAATTGTTGCACTTCTGCGTTTCGTCTGGTGAGTGAGGTAGCCGGGGTCCACATTATTAAGATGTGGCAACGCATCTGCAACCCTACGGGTGTTGCAAATTTCCATGGGCAGGCGGTTATCACTTAACATCAAGTGAACCGCCAGCTCGTTTGCCACTTTCTCACATTAAAAAAAATAAAAGGCAAGTCGTAAAGAAACCTAGCCAACACTATTAGAAATAAGTATAAGAGCAGGAGTGAGAACTTTGCCCCAAAATTACCTATTGCCAATTTATTCTTCCAGGGCTGCCGGTTCGGAGAGCATGCATGGCGTTCCACCAATCCGAGTGGATCGGGTGGATCAAGGTGAATATATCATGACTGGTTATCGAATGGGGCAGTTTTTATGAAGAGTTATATGCAATCTAGATTTTTTTATAGTAAAGTAACAGCCTATACATGCTTGTCCCGTGCTGCCCACTGCTGGGCAAAGGCCTCCATTTTTTACAGAGGGTATTAGGGCATAGTCCACCACTCGACCCCACTGCGGATTGGCGAACTTCACATATCTTGGAAATATTTTCTTTTTTTCTTATTATTTCGAAAATATACAGGTTTCTTCTCGTTGTTTTCCCTCACCGTTCAACACGTAATAAGGTCAGCCCTTAAAATTAACAATTTCATTGGTGCTGGCACCGGGGATCGAACTCAGGTTGCTCGAGTATATTGAATTAAAGGCGAGCGCCTGGACACTGAACTATCACGGCTCAATTTTTTTTAACTATAACATAATTTCTTTAGAAAAGATATGATACTGTGTTCTCCGATACAGTCACTAAGTATTTTTTAATTGTAGTCTGCCACATTATTGTATTAGACTAAATGCCTGTAATGATAGCATTTTTGTGAATGTAATAAATTATGAATATTTAAAATGCGACAAAAAAGTCTGTAGCAAATACCTTCCTTTTTTGTAGTAAATCACAGTCATTATGTAATAATCAAGTTCATTAATTTAAACTCACAGTGAGTTTATATATACCATATAATAATTGTGCCAACTACTGAGCTGTATAGAAGTATAATTAAAACATTAACAACCTTACAACCCAAAAGATACAGAATCGAGCCGGCTGGAACTGAACCTGAAACCTCCTAAGAAGCCGGACAAGGGCCTCATTGAGCCGAGCTTGCTGAGGAACGTGGAGAACAAACTTCTGTCGCCCCTTAAGCTGTTGGAGAGGGGCCTCTACGAGAGGATCTCTGAAGCAGACGTCAAGGATTTCGAACTGGACCCCGATGAGCTGATCGCACAGATGAGGGAGAGGTTAACTAAGCCAAAGCCCCTCGTGGAGAAGAAGAAGATCGTCAAGTGAGTAAACCCATCTGTATGCACCAATTAGTTGTGCGAGGGCCATGCAACAGCCGTTGAAAGAATATAGGGCCACGCTACAAAGTACTACGACCGAGGTGAAAGTACTTCTGCGTTTCGTCTGGTGAGTGAGGTGGCTGGGGCCCACTTTATTATAAAGTTTCATTTTTATGTTTCATTTTAAGTGTAGTATCTGAGATAGCACTATAAAAATTTTTCTTTCTTCATTTCTTGTTTAGCACTGTGAAAGAGAATATTTTCTTATTTATACTTTACTTAAATTTTATACTTTACTAGCGACCTGCCTCGGCTTCGCACCGGTGCAATGTATTGTACATATAAACCTTTCTCTATAACCACTCTATTCAGTAAAAAAAACACATTAAGATCCGGTTTCGTAGTTTTAATGATCTAAACATACATAGAGACAGACAGACAGTGGGACCACTTTGTTTTATACTATGTACTGATGTTACGTCTTATTGTATTTGTGTTAGTTTGCAAATATGATTTCTTCACTTTACTTAACTGTGGTCAGTATGGTCTTAAACCTGCTTGTGTTCTTCTTTAAGAAATATTTAGTTGTTTCTTCATATTTACAGCGACATACTAGAGAGTGTGCTGGAGAGCCTGCACAGAGATAAGAAAAAGACCAAAGAGCCGTTGAAGGAGTGGAACTCACCGAAAAAGTGCCTTGAAATTGAAGTTGAGGATGTTGAGGTGATATATTTAATTCTTGGACCTCGGATATGCATAAGACTACTTACACTATATTTTTTTGTTTTAACAAGGCATTAAATTGTTTTCCACAGGCAAGTCCGATTCAGTGCAACCAACCAACCGCAGATCAAACAGAGGATGCGCAGGAGCTTAAGAAAGATTATAACAACCCACCGATCGCTGTTAAGGAGGAGCCTGAACCGGAGGAAGCTGTACCAGAGACATCTGATCACCCACCGAAAGTTGAAGGGGGATTTCAGCCGATGGAAACAGAGGAGAAGGAATATAAAGAGAATGTGGAAGAAATAGTAACAGAGGAGAAGGGGCATCAAGAATCAGAGAAAGTGGAGGAGTTTGGCAACTCAAAGGGCATATCCAACAGCCTCCCTGACTTCGGCAGCCCGAGGAAAGTTAAGCCGGTGCACGTCCAGGACTCGAGCATGGAGATATCGGAGCACGACCACGCGGTCAGCATCGCCCTGGTACAGACGGAACCATTAGAGCGCAGCGCCAGGAGTAGCATCGCAACGAGCAGTCCCATGAAAGCTAGGACCTTGTTCAAACTCAGCCCCGTCGATGGAGTGCTGTCAAACAAGCTGGACATAGACGTGGAGAGCTTCAAGTGCCGCTACCTCGACGAGGTGGGCGGGCAATACGAGGCAAGCGCTGGCGAGGAGGGCAGGGGAACCACCAAGAGGAAGCTGCTGGAAGGTGGAGTCGAAGCGGATGCGGGGAAACGGCAGAAGGGGAGGCGCCAGCGGGCGGGTGCTGCGCCCACCCTCGGCCGCGACGCGGCGAAGGGCCGCAGGCGTCAGGAGCGGAGACTCCGGCTCGTGGTCAAATGCGCGTTGGTGAGGAAGCGCTTGGTGCAGACCACCATCCAGAGCTTCTTCCGGCCGAGCCGATGACGTGGCCGCGTGAAACGTGCACGTATCACCCTATTTCGCCTTTCTTTTGCCTCCTCGGAAGCGCAACCGGCAATGTATCAATTAAACATCACACTATTCGAAAAAAGTATCACGAGACACTTCATAAAACTAGATAGATAACAGTTTATGATAGAGTATTTATGTAAGTATCAGCCTATACATTTCCCACTGCTGGGCAAAGGCCTCCTCTGTACAGAGGTATTAGGGCATAGTCCACCACGTGGCCCCACTGCGGATTGGCGGACTACACATATTTTCGAAAATATGCAGGTTTCCTCACGATGTTTTCCTTCACCGCTGAGCACGTAGGTCAGCACTTAATTTTAACAATTTCATTGGTGCCGGCACCGGGGATCCAACTCAGGTTGCTCAAGTATATTGAAATAAAGGCGAGCGCCCGGACACTGAGCTATCACGGCGCTATTTGTTTATTGTTATTTATGTAACGTATTACGTAATTCTTAATTAGTGATTTTTAATTTAAATACGACAGTTATATGCGTTTTTAAAGATTCATTTTATATGTTCACGTGTAACTTTGCACACGTATATAGTTTAGTAGTTTATGTGTTTTCTTAAATTAGAGAGAAATCACATTTTTTGTCCACAATATGAGACTGACTTTGTAGTGTTTATCTAAGTCAGTCTTTCATAAAAAAACGTGAGAATTTATCATTGGAATGAAAAGATATATACATCTCTTTACATATTGGTGCTATATCTTACTCTTTTATACGAGTAGCTGACTATTATAATGTTTTACAGCTTAATAAGGAACATGTGGTAGGGCCACACAAAAAATGGCTGTTGCACGAATGGGCAGGTCCATTTGAGAAAGTACTACGGCCTCACAGAAGACCTGCTTAAAGTAGAAGTTTTATACTTCGCCCACTTTATTAAAAATGGCAACACATTTACAACCCTGCGGGTGCTGCAAATGTCCATGGGTGGCTGCTATCACTTAACACATAAAAAAAGTTATTAAGAGTAAAATTATATCTATTCCAATCTAGTATCTATTAATGTTTCATGTCAGCTATGAACTGTACCAAATAAAAAAAAATAAAAAAATAACAGGAGTCATGGAAAAATATTGTTTTGTGATTAAGAGTTCAATTACACAAGCTTTAATAAAAAATGTTTTTTCCATTATTGCCACTTCAAAATGGCTGACACCTTATTTTACCGCGTGATCCGTTTGCTTTCGGAAAACAATACAATAACACCAGGACAACATATTCGTTGTTAATATTAAATAATGTTAAGACATTAAACATGTTTATGCAGTTAAATATATATTAGTATTCCTAGAAATAAGTTTCAACTAAAATATAAATACTGCAGTTTACCAACTTATGGAGTACTTTTTCTTTCCCATGAGTAAAAATTATTAATACAGAGATTAAAATTAAGTTAAATTAACCATATCTATGAAGATACTAGCTGACCCAACAGATGTCCTCTACACATGTCATAAATCCGACAACTTATAAAATAAAAAGTTAATTATAAAAATCGGTACAGCCGTTTAGGAGTTCAGTCACATACACACGCACAGAAGAATTATAAACAGCGTGTCTTTACCACCGCGACAATAAATGAACACACGTCTAACGCTACTTGCCAATATTCATAAAAAATATTAACAAAATTTCAAACAAACTAATTAAGTAAAAAAGAAACAAAATTTGTAACACCTATACAACTACAACTGACTGATTCATACATTCCGACACTTTTTCATTCGTTGCCACAGCGTCGCATTACAAGCCTCCCTTTCGAGCAGTATGTTTTGTCTCTTTTAAATTCATTCAACCCATTCATATGCTTTATGACCTTTACAAATGAACTTTACATTAAAATTTTATACGTAATTCTTTGTTTTGGAAAATTTGATAACTCGTTAATATTGATGTTTATAGAATGTAAATCTTTAATATAATTTTAAAAAGTTATCCTCTATATGTGTGTTCATTTATTGTCGCGATGGTAAAGACACGCTGTATATGCACTAGCTGTGTCCGAGAGTTTTTCTTGGTGGAATTCTAAAACAAATATCTTCTAAAATCTTCTGAAATAAAAGTAGCCTCAGTTACTCCTTATTACATCATCTATCTGAAGGTCCTGAAAGTTCCTAATCAGTCCAACCGTTTCAGAGATAAGCTGGAACAAACAGACAGAGATAAATTTAAAAAAATGTTATTTTGGTATATGTAGCATGTATACATCCTTGTGCATTTAGCAAAAAGCGGTTATTTTATTATCTATCAGTCAAATTTTATTTATCTGTGTATATATATATATATATTAATTTTGTAGAAGTAATCTCCTAACTCTTCTTTTTAAACATTTTAGTATTTCCAAGTTAGGTTTAGAAGGCTTCGTTTCGAAGGACATCCAAACATTTTATTCAAAATATGCCTTCGGACTTTATTTATTAATAATTTAAGCTACAAAATCTTCCCCATCGTTTTTGTTCCTCTATGCTTATTTAAGTCTTAATTGTTGCAATTTACTGAAAATGTTTACATGTCCACGAAACACAATTTGTTTTAAAAACGTGTATTTTTGCATACTATTAAATTTTTCTCTTTTGTGAAGTGTATTTCTTATTATATTCATTCTTCATATGCTTCTTTTTATATTCATTACTTTTTTGTATTCGTCTTATAAAATAATTATAAGTACCTACGGTATAGAAAAAAAAAAATGTAACTACGCACGATCTGTGCTACTCAGCACTGAAGGTGAAACTTTGATAAAATATAGCTTAAAAATTCCTAAGTCAAAGCAATGTTCCTAACTTTACATCGGTAACATTACTTTTGGACTAAGAAACATGAAAATGAAATTTAAAAATGCTTCTTAAATGTAAGTAAGGGATAAGTGGAATGATAGTTTGATATAATATGAAAGCAATATTATTATATTATGACAATAAATATCAAAATTGAAAAGAAAGCGATTTTATTTTTTAATCTGGACGTTTTCTACGAGTTCCCTAATTGTTTATCTGCTGCGCCTGTTGACATTTGACCCGTGCGAAATTTTCGTACAGTAGATAGCAATACCGTGATCATTCACCAAATGGGTAAATAAATTATCAATGAAAGTAGGTATGTACTTTTTCAATCTAAACGATTCTGATGTTCCGTTTATTATTGAGTTTCTCAATAAAGTATTCTTAAATGAAAAACTAGTCTCTATTTTACAGATTTTTTTTCATTACATAAAATGCCTTGTAAATGGTCTTTGAGATAAGTAAAATCTAATGGTGTCGGTACAGTCTTTATTATGGCAACAGAGAATATGACTAGAAACTTATTTACCCTTATTTATTAAAAATTAAATTAAAGCTTAAAAAAATTAATCTAAATCTTGTTCAAAAATGGCTCGGAAATATTACCACAATAAAAGGTTTGAAACTCTAAATATTTGTATTGGGGGATTTGGCCGAAATAAAACACAGGCATAGGAAACGCAACTCATTTCTTTCCTCTCATCGGAGGCTCGTATCTCTTTTTTATTACACGTATTGGTTACAATAGGAACCTTTGGATGAGGACGAGAGACAGGCGCCGTGGTAAAATAAAAGCTTGATATTTATAGGCAATATTCATCACTATCACAAGTCCCCACGCCAAGAGTTCTGTTGCGTACAAACGAGTCGACATATTGTTTTTCTTTTTCCCGATTGATAAAACATGCCATCGGACCTAGTCCGTTGTATGAAATATGACAATTTTCCTCTTCAACAAGCCATCGGCTCGACTCTTACCACACTAACATACATTCCATTGAATATTTCACTAAAGAATCTTCTCTTAGTATCTCTAACACGTTTCTAATAGAGCGTTCGAAAAGATGCGAAACGCCCGCACGTGTCCGATGGATCTCAATTATTGTTTCCTAAAACGAAAAAAGTTAACTAAGAACCTAATTCGACTCAATTTACAATTATCATAATTATCAAAACATTTACACGGTTAGCGTAAACGCCGAAATGCAATTTGAATGTCTCTTTCACACACAACCATACACGTACGATAAAAAATTACACACATTACACAAAAGACGAGGAAAAATATTTTTTTATTCTTTTTTTTTATAATGATTTAATTCGATATTTTTGTTACACTATAAAGAAAAAAATACCTGAGATCATTTTTTTTCTGATTTTTTCAAGATTTATATCATTTTTTTGTCATTTATTCATTTATACCTAGATACGATATTAATAAGAAATAAGTATAAAATGTTACGATTATGTACTGCGAAATAAATTGACAAAAATTAATTCCCGCATCGCATTGCCCATTGCGATTCGCACAGAACGATTTCCAAACCCAGAATCCAGAGTTAGTCCAAGTGAATTGAATACATACCATAAAATATGAAACATGAACATAATATCGACATTTTAATACTAAGTTATGTACTTCAATCAAACAAAAGTAAACATCGGTGGCATCTTTCTCGCGAATTCCCTTCCCCTCCCCCGCTAGGCCGTCCGCCCGGCCTCAAATACCTACGCGCTACGTTAATATGGAATATTTTCTCTTCGCCGCCATTAAGTCATCACAGTAAGAAAGCTTTCGTGTACCGTCCGGCAGTGCTCCATCCCGCGTCTTCGGCTTTTAGATATGAAAGGAAACTACAACGATTAAAGCTCCATAGACAATTTTTCAAATGAGAGCGGAAGGAAGCACTCCCAGAGGGAAATATATAAACGATAAAGGCGATGTACTATAAACTATCTACATCTGCTGTCGAAAAACGTTTCGAATCATTTTGTACGTGCACATTTTTACAACACGCGCAAAGTAACTGTTGTAATACGATCGTATTATATCTAGCAACCGAGCTTGAACGATACGAGTCCCATTGCAGATTCTTAGCACTAAGGGCAGTGTTATTGAACCCGACCTTTAGAAATTTACCACACGAGGCTCCAACGCGTTACGACAACCGAGAGAGATCACGGAATTTTGACTCGTTCAAAAGTGGGATCCCAGACTACTTAAATATTGGGCAGGGCGTGGTGCGCGATCGTTTGGAATCGAGCTACGCTGTCAACAATTCTGTTTCATCTCGAAAAGTAACGCTAAGGCGAAATTATTATGCTTTAAGGTTTTTGATTTTTAAGGTTTTATTGATCTTTAAGGTTTTGATGCACAGCACACTCGGAATCAAAACCACAGCGCACAACACCTGCCTTAGCTTTACAACCAATCCAATTCAATGGAAAACGGGACCTCGCGGCCACGTCGAAGCTTTCTCTACCCATGAGTTATAAATCGCTTTCTACGCTAGGCGCAAGTCAGACTCTACACATAAATTTAACTATCTTCATATTTGATAATTTTTCCTCTACATACTTCCTTATTGGTACAACACATTTACATAGAGAAAGACTAACATAAGAGACCACAGGTCACATATGGTATAAGTGTCGATTTAATTGTTTTTTTTTTTTTTTTTTTTTTTTTTTATGCGAAATGTTGTCAAACGAGCAGACGGTTCACCTGATGTTAAGTGAATACCGCCGCCCATGGACATCTGCTACACTCGAGGGTTACAGATGCATTGACAACCTTTTGAAAATTGGGCTCCGGCTACCTAAAAATGTTTGTATGGAGAAACCCGAAGACATTAAATTGTCACTTAATAGTATAAAACAAAGTCGTCCCGCAGTCTGTCTGACCCTATGTATGCTTAGATCTTTAAAACTACGCAACGGATCTTGCGGTTTTTTACTAGATAGTGATTCAAGAGGAAGGTTTATATTTATAATACATTGCACCCGTGCGAAGCCGGGGCGGGTCGCTAGTAATAATTATATAATACAATAATAATAAAAAAAAAATGGATAATTTCACATTGCTTGATTATAATAAACTTTTGATGTCAAAGAATATAAAGAAGCGATCGATTAGAGGCCCAAATGTTTTAATTAATATGATGCATGTCCATACTGCGAGGCATTTTAAAAATTGTTCCAGTTCACATTATTTTATGCTATATACAAGTGAATATGACAGATTGTATAGATCATATGGTATGGAAAGAGATAGTCTATAGTTGCATTTGATGAACGATTGGGTGACATAAAACTAACTTTTTCGATATATACTTTTCGCATTTGCATATTTGTTTTCTACTTTGTAAGGTGTAGAACAAATTTTACATTTAAAGCTTATCCAGTCACATTCACTTCTTTCAGTTGTGTATATTCATTTGTCATATCTCATCATTAACATTTAATAGTATTAAATTAAAAAAAAAAAAATAATACTATTAAAAGTTTTCACATTTTTTTTTACTGCACTATTTTACTTTGACCAATTAAAAGGGTTTTACTTATCAATTAATAAAAATCATTGCTAATACTTTTCAAAATTAAAATTATGTCAAACAAAATATAAATTTTATATGATTTTTACGTACTTATTTTTGAACTATAGTTTTTATTACACTCTCTGAATACATAAAATCATACAGTGCCAAACATGTTCGTTGGCTTGCTGTTATTATGTGACTAAACCTAATTGCACTAATTGCCGCAATTTGAGTGGCTCATTTCGGCGCCGCGAGCGTTATATCTGCATCGAATTTGTATATGTCATTGCTACAGGCCTATATTAGTCTTTCTCTAAGAAAACACACTATAGTATCCACGATTTTACAGTCGCTCGTAAGTACATAAAATCTCACATCAATATAGCGCCATGGTAAGAAGCGCCGGGTTTTGGAATACATTAGGTATTTTCACATTTTTAGAATTACTATTAAGACTTATAAGGTCTTATAGGTCTCTATAACAAATATCACTAGCTGAGATGTTGCCTTCGACGTTCTCTATTGGGCCGGAGGTGGTCCAGCAGGGCTCTCGGTGGAGTATGGGACTCCGCAGGGCCCTGGGTGGAGTTTGAGGCTCCGTAGGGCTCTGCGTGGAGCTCGGGGCTCCGCAGTACATGTCAGTTGCTGCAGTAGACTGGCAGCACCGGACTGCGCGGCCAATCGGACGTCTCCTCGCTCTCGCTACTCTCGCTGCCCGATCTGTGATACATAACAAATGGTTAGTTTTACAATATAATTTTGTAAGAGGTGCAGTGTTCGTTGTTGGGAGACAATGGTGAGTGGCTCTGCACGCTCTTAATACAGTATGTTTGATCACACAAAGTAAAGTAACAGCCCATACATGTCCCACTGCTGGGCAAAGGCCTTTTCTGTACAGACGGTATTAGGGCATAGTCCGCCAGGCTCTACCATTGCGGATCGGCGTACTTCACATATATTCGAAATATTTTTTTTTATTACATTATTTATTTCGAAATATGCAGGTTTCCTCACGATGTTTTTCAGTGAAATATCACATGATATTTCCACACTTAAAATTAACAATCATTGGTTGTGACACCTGTGATTGAACATAGATTGCTCCAGTAATAAAAAGCGGGGAGTCTAAATTCATTATACTCGTGTTGCGCAGCCAGTAGACTCTATTAATGAAACTACATTTAAGAAATATACATTACAAATGCAAGTTGAGCACAGTCCCACAGCTGGGCGACGCTAACCTGTTTCTGCTGGGCGTGGGGTCGACGGCGAAATGCTGCTCCTCGATAGTGGGCAAGAGCGATGTCAGGCGGTCCGTTGGCCTTAGCACCTGAAGATCGACAAATTTAATTTCAAATATCTTAATTAAACATAGGAACTTTTTTATTTAACTGTGGTAGGGCCACGCAACAGTGTTCACTGCTGCACGAATTGGTTGGTTTGTCCGGGTAAGTACCACAACCTCACAAAAGACCGGCGTAAAGTAGTGTTACACTTCTTTTTTTTGTCTAGTGAGTGAAGTAGCCAGGGCCCACTTTATTTAAAGGTGGCAGCGCATTTGCAACCCTACGGGTGTTGCAAATATCTATGGGCGGCAATTACCAGTTAACATCAAGTGAACCGCCTAATCGAGCAACGTAACCTTACGCGATGGTCCTCTCGTTATAGTTTCTCGGTAGTAGGGCCACGCAGCAGCCTCGGCTGTTGCACGAATGGGCAGGCTCGTCCGGGTAAGTACCACGACCTCACAGAAGATAGGCGTAAAGTTCAAGTATAATACTTTCGCGTTTCGCCTGTTGAGCGAGGTGGCACGAGCCCAATTTTCAAAAGGTTGTCAACACATCTGGAACCCTCGTGTGTAGCAGATGTCCATGCGTGGCGGTATTCACTTAACGGCAGGTGAACCGTCTGGCAACTTTTCACGTAAAAAAAAAGTTTTGCTTAAGTCGGTACAATCGTGCCCTAAGCCGGTACATTCGGGTAATATACAGTCGAGCAATATAACCTGCACATTACAGACGGTACAGTCGTGCGACAATTAACCCCGTACAGTCGCGGCCAGCAGGCTCTAGTACCTTCAGCGTCCGTTCGGAGAGGCGCCAGACGAGGCGCTGCCGCTGTGGCGCGGCGCACCTCGCCTCGTAGCGCGACAACACCGAGCGGAAGGTGTCGCGAGTGCTCACCAGCGAAGCGTCCGACATCTGAGAGTGTATAAATAGCATTTATACGACGGACTTCACATATCTTGTTATTATTTCGAAAATTAAATGTTTCCCTTCGCCGCGGAGCGTGATAAGTCAGCACTTAAAGTTAAAAACTTCATTGGTGCCGGCACCGGGGATCCAACTCAGGTTGCTCGAGTATATTGAATTTAAGGCGAGCGTCCGGACACTGAGCTATCACGGCTGACGTTAGTGGACTATGCCCTGATGCCCTCTGTATAGAGGAGGCCTTTGCCCAGCAGTGGGACATGTATAGGCTGTTACTTTACTTTACTCTTATTTATATGACGTTATTTAGCTGCAATGAGGTAAGTATGACTTAGGATACATTGCCCCTGCTGTTAGATTAATTAAATTTGTATAGATTAATTAAATCCTTCAGTTTTTTAAATAAGAAAACGTAGATTTTTTTGACAACAATACTCAAGTCGAAATTCAGAAATACAATAAAACTTTACACAATTGATAATAATCATGTCCTAAATTCTTAATGTAGCCAGAAAACAGATGCCCATTGTTAATATGTTATACTTAAAGTGAAAAATGTCTACAATTTCTTTGTTTATACATTCTATTAGAAAAATCTTACCCTTCATAGTGTAATGCAATGAATCATCAATATGCAAATATTTATAACTAGGGCTAGGATTACTTTTAACTTGATATTGGGATATGAGTGTATTATTAGTATATAACACAGCTTTTAGCAATAATCCTAAAGGGATACTCACATTGCAGTAGGCCTGAAGCTGGGAGGCAAACTCGTAAAGGTAGTATAGATCATCGGAGACCTCATTGTGTCGGGCCCACTCGGTAAGCTGTTTCTCTGTGAGCAGATACAAACAAGATTAAAATGTCAACAATTTAGTAGAGTATGAACCTATGGAGGTTCGACCCTATGGTCTCGAGCACATAGAAAAGGGTTCATTTCGCCCCTGTCTATCGTATGGGGCAACGGAACTTTATTGGACTCAGTAATGATTGCAACACATGTTCCTTTACAAAAAAATCATAGCACATTTGCACCCTGGAAACAGATTAAAAGTCTTACCTCTCCCTACCCTACAAAAAACGTAAGGGCTTAATTTCGCTTAAACAAACGTATAATGATTGAGGTGTATATAATGTAAATATTGATATTCATATCAATACCCTTGTATTTTGGTTACAGTTTTAAGTTTCCATTCGCCAGCTGGTGATTAAAGGAGACTGCGATTTCCACAATCGTCACACATCTCATGTCGTCTCATTAACGCCCATACATTCTTAATCAAATTAAATAAATTGGTCGTCCATTAACTTCATTGAACTGAAATAGTACAGGAGTGTGCAAAGATAGAGTTGTAGAGTCTAGTATATTACCGAGCTGATGGTACACGATGACCAGTGCCAGTTCGCTGGTTCGCGCGTTGGCGCAGCCCGCGTCGCATATTGCAATCTCCAGCAGATTCACCAACTCACTCTCCTGCATTGGAAATCCTCCGTAAGCAACATTTGTGGCAGTAAATTAACATTACGGATATTACAAGTTTCAGTTAGCAAACTCACGCCCTCGGTTTCCGAGTCACTGATCGTCATAGATATCACGTAATCAGCTGTCAAATCAAATTGCTTTACAAATACACACAAACTTTATTAAAAGGTAGCGAGGCATCTGCAACCTTCCATGTGTTGCCAATGTCCATGGGCGGCGGTATTCACTTGTCAGGTGAGCCCCGCCTGCTCGCTTGGCTTTTCACACGAGAACGATGTGCGAGCGAGAGGCGAGACTTGCGCGAGAGCGAGAGGCGAGCGCTTTTACGCACCGGCGGGGCGGGCAGCGCCGCGTTCGCCGCCAGGGAGCGCAGCAGCCGCAGCCAGTGGAGGGGCGTCACGGCGCGCGCGTTGTTCAGCGCCAGCTTGTCGGCGAGAACGCGCGACATGCGGGCGACGTCGCGCCACGTGCACGCAGACTGCGACACCGACACTGGAAGCGGACATTTCGCAGTGGATCAGGCTCTAACATTGCACTGTGATCGTGTGCTCAGCGGGGAAGGTCTTTATTTATTTATTTAAGCTTCATTGTTAAACCTTAAGCTAAAGGCTACAATGGGCGGACTTAATGCCTAATGGCATTCTCTACCAGTCAACCCTTGTCATGGTGAAAAGTAGATGGTAGGTGCTAAATGAAACTATAAAAATTTAAGTTAATAAATGTGCCATAAAATGTAACATACATGTACATAAATAAATATATAGATACATAAATATAAATATATAAATACATAAATAAATACATATACGGATAATAAAAACACAAATGGACTAAGTGATACAAAGTTCTTTTTTTATGTGAAACGTTGCCAAGCGAGCAGACGGTTCACCTGATGTTTAGTGAATAACGTCGCCCATGGAAATCTGCTACACCCAAGGGTTCCAGATGCGTTGGCAACCTTTTGAAAATTGGGCTCCGGCCAACTCGCTCACCAGACTAAACGCGAAAGTATTGTACTTCCACTTTACGCCGGTCCTCTGTGTGGTCGTGGTACTTACCCGGACGAGCATGCCCATTCGTGCAACAGCCGAGGCTGCTGCGTGGCCCCACCACCGTAAAATAGAAATGTTCGAAGTAATAACAAAATTCCGACATGTTTAATCTGCCAGTGCTAATTTCTTCAGTTGGACCCTCCCGGTTGCCAACTCTTAGCGAATGTCTCATCGTCATCACCGTCGTCATCACCGCAACATCTACAGAACGGGCCCTTATCTGTGTACCAAACAAATATTTGTCCCGCGTGGGAATCGAACCCACGACCCCCGGCGCCGAAGCCAATGGCTTAGCAACTGCACCACCGAGTCGCCGATAAGTGGGGCAATTGCCTTCGACAAGTCGAAGACAACTTACCCAACTCCTCGACGGAAACTTTCCTCGGCTGCTGGGTGTTCTCGGCGTGCTCGTCCAGTGCCACGTTCATGCAGGAGACGGTGATGCACGGCACGTGGCACGGCCGCACCTTCATCTTCGTCAGGAACCTGCCATCAAAGTTTAAGAGCAAATTGGTTATCGCGATATAATAAGGAGTGATATTTTTGCAGGTTCACCGGCTTGGTTTTTCGGAAACAAGTCTGTTTAAGATATAGTCGGCACCTGAATGGTAATTATGTGAGCAGTACGCGTCTTCTCGCCTTACGCCGAATATAATTTACAAGAGTATGATTATGTTCGTCTGCCCACACAATTCTCGTTATCCTGGGGGCATTGTGGTCCTATGGGCCCCAGAATCTTGTCGGCAGCGACTTGTGCGGGTCGCTATAATCATGACGGTCTACCATCCACAAACAAGAGCCGCCAGTCCACCAGAAACGTAGAGGTACAGAAGATGGGAGGAGGAATTGGGGTAGAGTGTTGTTCTACGGGCTCTAGTATCTTGACGACAGGGACTTTTGCAGGTCGCTATATTATTCCAGACAGTATACCGGACACAGACAAAGGCTGCCAGAGTCGACCAGAAACGTAGTGGTACAGAAGAGAGAAGAGCACAAGAAATGGGGGGGGGGGGTGGTGTTATGTTTTATGAGCCCTAGAATCTTGTCTCCTGACGGTGTACCATCCACAGGCAAAGGACGCCAAAGTCGGCCATGACCAGAAATATAGAGGGACAGAAGAGGGAAGGAGAAATGGAGGTTGGAGGAGGCGGCACTCACCTGTCGAACAGGTTGATGGCGCTGATGAGCACGTCGGCCGGCAGGTCGAACCACACCTTGAGGCAGCGCAGCACGTGCGCTGCGCCGTCCCTAGCGCCGATGGTCACCTCGCCGCTCTGGAATGACCGCCACCATAAGTATGCGTTGCCACCTTTAAATAAAGTGGGCCCCGGCTACCTCACACACCAGACGAAACACAGAAGTTTAACACTTTCACTTTACGCCGGTCTTCTGTGATAACATTTTTTCGCGTGTACAGGACAACGTCTATCGGGTCGACTAGTTATGTATAATTATAAATAGTTAACAGATTTCGCGTGTATTTTGTTCTTAGCAATTTTTTTTTGTGCCAACCGGCAACCTCATACGACCAGACGGTTAAATATTAATGAGGGTCAAAAATGTAAGGTCAAATATATACTTAAAACTTCTTTGCTGGAACTCACAAAGAGGATATTGATAAAGAAATAAGGTTAAAAATCTGGTTTCACGACTCGGGCGTAGTTACCGTGAGTCGTGGGTTCGATTCTCACACGGGACAAGTATTTGACCCACGGATAACTGATCCAGATCTGGGTGTTTGTTCCTCCCCGAGTAGGGTTGACGTCAGGCAGATTATATAATACAAATAACGAGGTTATTAATCGAAAATCGTGTGATTAAATATAGAGGATACAAACAACTCGAGGATAATGCTTTGCATTTTCCGCGAGTTGTCTTTTTTTGGCTATATTTAACTGTGGTAGGGCCACGCAACAGTATCCTCAGTTGCACGAATCGGGTAAGTACCATGACCATAGAGAAAACAGATTTTTATCGTTCAACATTTTCAGAGATAAGGCGTAAAGTATTTAAAAAAAAAAAAACAATCTTATTATAAATTTAGATTAAATCGATGCGATAACCCGTTAACGATAACTGTTCAATGTTATCGCGATTAATATTGATAGACTGAAAAAAAAAGTTTTCAATTATCATTTTCCTGCCCTCATCCCAACTAGGTGGAGCCGGCACCTGTGAAACCTGTGAGGTGTTTTGTCTATGATCTTTTTACGGATATCCCCGCCTGCGTGACACCAACCCTCCTTGGGAACGAGTAAATTTTTTTACGAACGAAGAACAAAACCGAATTCAAACATCTCGGATCTGTATTCATTTTATAATTGATTTTCAAGAGTACCCTACGTATCTCCGGATCCCGAGATCCAATAACAATGAAATTAATATGGGACCACGTGGGAAGCACCAGCTTTCAAGTAGCAAAATAATCATCAAATTCGTTTCACTCAGTCGAAAGTTCTGAGGTAAATAAAAAAAAATAAAAAAAAATATATAAAAAAAACACAGTCGAATTGAGAACCTCCTCCGGTTTTGAAGTCGGTTAATAAATCCATACTTCCATACTAATATTATAAATGCGAAAATAACTTTGTCTGTCCGTCTCGCTTGCACGCCAAAACTACTGAACCGATTTGAATGAATTTTGGTACACAGATACTTTAGAGCCTGAGAGAGGACATGGACGATTTTTTTATTGGAAAATACTTTAAATTTTTTTTTTAAAGAAAGATATTTATTTACGGGCTTCAACGCGAGCGAAGCCGCGGGCCAAAAGCTAGTAATCAATATCCGAAACAATCATCTGTGTGTTACGCAAATACTCCTCCCGCGCGGGATTCTTGCTCCGTGGCAATCTGTGAAGGAGGCAAGAGGGCCTATGATCAGCAATGACATTCTAACGGGGTGAAATGATGATGGCGATGGTAAGAAGCAAGTCTTATTGGTGGATTGTTTGCTGGGACCTCTGCTGACATCCGTGGCTGCGGCGATAGAGGGTGACGTCACTGCGGGCTTTGTCGTGCGAGAAGCATGCTACATTTTCCGATAGAGCAGCTGACATCCGAGTTGGCTGCGGTCGGTGATGTCACGGGTGACGTCACTGCGGGCTTTTTCGTGCATGCTACATTTTCCGATAGAGCGTTCGCTATTTCAGAGTTATATTTGTCGCTAGATTCGCACGGGAGCCAATCGAAAAACAGTACACAATCAATCACGAGCATAAAGCGACATGATATGAGCGACAATCGACAGCAAAACTGCCGAGAGTCCAACTATGAAAGCTTGCTAAGCTAGCCGCGAGCCGCTTTGAGTCCACTGCTGAACATAGGCTTCCCCACAGACTGCCATGAAGTACGATCCTGAGCCACCTGCATCCATCGACTTCCCGCACATTTGCACAGGTCGTCACTCTATCTAGTGGGAGGTCGTACTACACTGCGATGGCCAGTACGAGGCTGCCACTCGAGAACCTTTCTTCCCCAACGGTTATCGGTTCTACGAGCTATATGGCCGGCCCATCGCCACTTCAGCTTGCTAATCCTCTGAGCTATGCTCGGTATTCTTAGTTCTACTGCGGATGTCTTCGTTACGAACTCGTATCTTTGGGTTGGGTACGGAACCCTAATAACTATCACAAAATCAGCACGTTTGCAATGACCAGCAGATACCAGCGAGAGAACTCGACTCGTGTGGCCACTTAAGTTTGATAGAACGTTACTGTTGTAGGGCCACGGGGCAGTCTTCGCTGTTCCACGAATAGGCAGGTCCGTCCGGGTAAGTACCACGACCACACAGAAGACCGGCGTGAAGGAAGTGTTACAATTTTGCGTTTCGTCTTCACGTGAGAAGGTGGCAAGAGAGCTGGCCCAATCACAGATGAACTGATGATTGGTGAGTGAGTTAACCGAGCCCGCTTTATTATTAAATGGTAGCAACACATCTGTCAACCTATGGAAATTGTAAATGTCCATGGGCGTCGGTTATCACTCGACATCAGGTGAACCGCCACAGCTCTCTCTCTCTCTCTCTTCTTATACAGGGTGATTTTATAGACGATGGACATATTAACAGAGCATATGCAGAATTAGATTCTAAATCTGAATCTGGTACGTACTTGTGAATCTTATTTTTTTTTCCAAGTTTATTTTTAATTTTTTTAAATATTATGGACACCCTATTAGAAATTTCTGCCTTACCGTCTCAATACAAAAACTTATTGACGAGCACTAAACCTGTTCGCTGAACGCTTAATTACTAAACCGCCTATCAATAGGGTGACCACTCTTAACGGGATAAACAAACAATATTCAAAATAAAATATTGATATTTTTTTGAATTACGGAATGTTCAATTAATATTACGTAAAAGGAGCTACTTCGTCTGTAAAATCACATATCTTCCTACATGAAAAAGAAAACTCGAAAAAGAACGAAGGAGGATCCCTCCTTCTTCCGTCGAACAACGTCTTCCAAATTTTGAGTGAAAATTCGTCGAAGTTTTGACGGACTCACCTCCGACTCGTCGGGCAGACAGAGCCGCGGCTGAAACTTCTGCTCGAGCTGCAGGTACTCGTTGAGGGTCGCGTAGAGGACGTGCGGCTCGGTGACGTCATCGCCGCGGTACCCCGCCGGCTGGTGGCCCTCGGGGGAGGAGGAAGTGGAGCCGCTCGGCTGGCGCTCGTCAGCATCCGGGTGCCTAGCGCCCGCTCTCGACATGGCCGGGCTGGGCGATTCGGACGGCGGGTGAATCGGCACCTGGGGGCCGAGTGGCTCGGTGACAGATAGTGATAGTGAGGCTGGATGAGCCACTGTTGGGCCTTAGGGGCCTTTACAGTTTCGACGGGCTTGAGGTGGCCTGGCGCACGAGGCGCCTAGCCTGAACCTCGCGTATTTACTATTACGCGTTATGGTGACTAAGCTCGAGGGCTCCCGAAGGAACCTCGGCTCGGGCCGTCACGCTATTTAATTCACCGGGCTCGGTGACGCGCGACCGCCGGAGGTCGCGAAAGGTGCGGTGCGACAAGTTGCCACCGCGCGACGCTTGTGTGTTAAACGTTCTTACTACACGCGATAATGTTGTATGATGTTATGTTGTCGTACGTTGTAAGGGGTACATTATTACAATATGATATCTAGTTTCTTATGAGTTCTTATGAGTCGTCTCCTTTCTCTTCCTTACTAAGGATTCACTTTAATAATTCATCAAGTGTCCTAATAATAAATTAACAATATCGATTATGTATCGTCCATCGCCTTTGTCCAGCAGTGAGACCTCTATAGGCCGTTACTTTACTTTTCTACTTTTACTAAAGTCATAGACATAAACATGGTTCCCCAGTTTAAAAGGTATACCTAAAACCTGGATACGTCCCACTTATCCCGCATTACCCATCAGTGGGACGAAGCGTGTGGCCACTGTGCGTGCCGCGTCTCTTCACCAAAGGTCGGAAAGTAGGTCCCGCTAACAATTCGACCATTTAAAACCAATTGACCGGGCCGTCTACTATGCGGGTCAATAGATTGTCATCGACGTGACTGCTTCAGCATTAACGAGAACAAAGTGTTTCGCATTCGCAGACAGAGAATTGGTATTATATTTTCGCCATGACTTTTTAAATAGTTTCTTTAGATCAACAGACTTTTAAAAAAAGTTATCAATTGGGTTGCATTTTATAATGTTTTTCACCTAATAACTCGCGTCATTTGTGTAATGATTTCGAAAAAAAAAAAAATTCCGTGAGTGGGTATGCTACGGTGAGTTGGTATGCTGTGAGTGGGTATGCTACTCACCAAAGCGCGCCGGAGGTGTGCCTGCGTACGGAGGGTCCCCCGCTCGTCGCGCGCGCCGATCCCCCCACTGGCCGACCCGACGGTCCGAGCGACCGGGCGCCTGGGCCTAGTACCTGACGATTGCACGCTCGTGGTCAGCGCTGAGCGGCCGCCGCTTTGGGGGCCGCGGGGCGCTGGCGGGGTGCGCGGGTGAGGGGAGAGTACAACACTCGTAGAGTGGTAGAGGATAGAGAGAGCACAATGGAAATAGGGTAGGATGTCGAGGACGATGGCTGGGATGCTGGATTGGTTTACCCTCAAAAGGTTACCGGGTCCAATGTCTTGTTGAAAGACAATTGCCCAGCCGCCTTGGCTTAGCGCACCAGTCAGATACCGGCAGCGGTGGTTGAGCAACGCTGCTAGGCCGAACCGCGCCCACAGCCACGTGATAATGGCGGGCGGGCACAAGACAATATTGCAAATATCAAAACGCCACGGTCTCCCCCTGGCCCAGCTAGTATACACCGGGTTCGCACCCTTGATACTATTTTTACGTCTCGTCACGAGATAAGGGCCGCTTGACAGGGGTTTTTATATTTTTTTAGGTCGGGCGCAAAGCTCTCTAAAGCAACTCTTAAATACCTGTAAAATGATGAACAATGAAACTTGAACTTTTGCGAAAATTGAACTGCGATACGGATAGATAGATAGCCTTTGGAATTCGGGAGCGCGACAAGTTCGCCGTTTTGCGAAAGTGTATTTGTTTTTTTTTTTTTATTGGAAAAAGAAGGTAAAGGAGCAAGCGGTGGAACCGTTTGTAAGTGATCACCGCCACCCGTGAACTTGCATTCCAATAGCGAAGGTCACAACTGCGTTGTCACTTGTCTAATCCCTTACAAGGAGTTATTGCAATGATCCACTACTTGTTTTTATCATTTTGATGAATCATTCGTAACTATTGTCAATTTATTATGAAAAACAAAAAAATCGAACGTTTGAAATTTATAAAATGTTATAAATAACAACGCAACAGGCGAAAACATGTTAAACTTGTTGTAAAGCATCGTCAAGACATTATAATCTGTTGCAAGAATTTGTTGCCTGTTAAGGTTTACTGTGATAGGGCCACGCAGCAGACTTAGCTGTTGCACGAATGGGCAGGCCCATTCGGGTAAATACCACGACCTCGCAGAAGACCGGCGTGAAGTGGTAGTGTTGCACTAGGGCGTTTCGCCCGGCGAATGAGTTAACCTTTTTTGAAAGAGCAACGCATCTGCATCCCTACAGGTGTAGAAATGTGTAGAGGAGGCCTAAACAGGCCAAAGTCGCGCCGGGGTCGCGGAAGATTGCGTCCACGTGTTCCCGTGTCCCCGGCCATAGCGAAAGAGACAGGTGCAACTTGGGTTTTGTGTGTACCCGTTTTTACCGGGACTCCCACATACCCCTGCCATTCCCCCAGTCCAGTGGCAGGGGATCCATGAAGGATTTTTCGCACGAAAAAAAAAAAAAAAGGTGTACAAATGTGCATGGCCGGCGATTATCACTTAACATCAGTTACCAGCCAGTTGACCGCCAGCTCGCTAGCTATATTCTTACATTATTTAAGTGCTTTTAAAAGAATTAATGCAATTATACAGCGTGTCGTTACCATCGCGACAATAAATGAACACACGTCTAACGCTACTTGCCAATAATCATAAAAAAATATTAACGTTAAACAAAATCCATAATTTTTCAAACAAACTAATTAAGTAAAAAAGAAACAAAATTTGTAACATCCTATACAACTCGCGCCACAGCGTCGCATTACAAGCCTCCTTCTAACAGTATGTTTTGTCTCTTTTAAATTCATTCAACCCATTCATATGCTTTGTGACCTTTACAAATGAACTTTACGCTACAGTTTTATACGTAAGGGTGTTCTAAAATTGTTTGTTTTGGAAAATTTAATAATTGATGTTTAAAGAATGTAAATATTTAATACAACTTTAAAAAGTTATCCCCTATATGTGTGTTCATTTATTGTCGCGATGGTAACGACACGCTGTATAAATACGTAAGAATACTATTTGAACTCTTGAACTATTAGCATTTAAAGAAAATGTAGTTATGTATGTTAGCTGTGGACGGACTGAGAATAATCACAGACTATAAAAATTTTGGGAGTATATAATTAAAAAAAAATTAGCTTTACGTTTTGTTCTTTCGGACAATTTCTATGGATAAAGATTGGTCAATCAATAAACTTTATCGATATCGTTCAATCCATTTCTAAATTTCCAACTTTGCGTAGGCTTTAAACAGTACTTGCTATGCTATGGCACTACACTTTAATTTAAGCCAAGGACTAATCTTAGCACTTGAAGTGAAACATTACAATTTGTAGAAAAAATAAAGTCGTCGCCGCTGCGGGAATCGAACCCACGTCTTCCGGAATCGCACCCGCACACTTTAACCACTAAGCCAAGCGGCTGATTGCCACGCCGGCGAAAATTTCTACGTTTTTATCTACATTGTTTTTTCGCATGTTAAGCAGTGCTTGGTGCATCCATAGTTATGTTGTAGCGTTCGAATTATAGTTGTAAATCGATATTTGAAATTATACGATCTTGAAAAAAACTATCAAAGCGATTAAGACGGTACTTCAGCCACACCACAAATGTAATGTGTAAGTAAAAGATAAAAGCATCAATAAAATATCTCTATAGTTCAATGCCGTATGAAAACACTTTATTGATACTTATATTAATATTTTTATTTATATCGCCTATCATAATCTAATAAATAAAACCGCTGTAATAGGCACATGACGGGCGGACGCGAAACGTATAGGGGGGGGGGGGGGGGGGGGGGGGGGGGGGGGGTGGGGGGTGGAACTTAAAACGCGAATGACGTCAGCGTTTTAGTTATAAATAGTGAAACAAACCTTGGATCTGCCGCAAAGGCCGGTCTGACGTCATCCGTGACGTCAATGTTTACAAGCGCAAATTTTACATATATAAACTTCACGAGAACAAACACCCATATCCGAAAAAAATATCCGTGAGTCACAATCTGTTGTCCCGTGTGGGAATCGAACCCTTAAACACCCGCGTAGAAGTCGTGACAGGCGTGAGGGCCGGTCACCCGATGTTAATCGATGACCGCCACCCATGGACGTCTGCAACACCAGAGGGTTTGCAGTGTTTGAAGTTAGTAAAGTAACAGCCTATTAATGTCCCACTGCTGGGCAAAGGCCTCCTCTGTGCAGAGGGTATCAGGGCATAGTCCACCACGCGACCCAACTGCGGATTGGCCGACTTCACATATTTTCGAACGCCAACCATACGTTTCCATCCGCGAGTGAGCAACTGTTATCTCTTATCGTCTGATCCATCTGATTACATCTCACTTAGCATCAGGTGCGATAATAGTCAAGGACTTAGCGATTTATGGGTAAAAAAAAGATCTAAATGATGTAAATAACTGCACTCCGGGTTAACTATAGCATTAGGACGTAAAACGAGCCAGTCTCTAAGTGTCGATGGACGCAAACACAAGAACTAAACTATTGACCTATTTATTCTATCTCAATTCGCTGTGAAAATTTGTGAAACATCGTAAATATTTGAAGCAAAATTAGCAATCAAGTAATAATAGTCAAAATAAATCACAAGTCATAAAAACATTCCAAAGCAATGAATTGACAAATTAATAAACATTTTACATGTAATAGTCATGATTCAATTTAATTACCTAATTTGGCAGTGTGTACTTCTGGTGTAGATATTCTTGCAGTTTAATATACACCAAAAACAGTTTATGAGCCATTTCTGATTCATATCGAGGGAGGTCTTTAGTTTATGCCTGGCAGTTATGTTTCAGACATAAGATAGTTTAATTTAAACGTGTATACTATTCGTGCAAATATACAAGAAATCTACATCGGACGACTTAAGCACGTGCGCGTTTCGGTTTCAATCGTAAACGGCGCGGCGGTTGAAAATTCGTTTTGGATCTTTAGGGGGGCCTGCAAAGGGCGTCCAATTTTGGGCTATCGTAAAAATTACGCGATACTCGATTCGAAACCTTGGCAGTCGAAACGGCACGCGGCGCGCGCGTGATCCGCTAGGGTTGTCACCGTCGCCGAACACAAGTCCGTTTTCATTAACGGAAAACAAGCAGACTACATGTATCTCGCTCTGTATTCATTTTATAATTGATTTTTATGAGTTACCCAAGTATCTCCGGAACCCAAGATTCAATACCAATGAAATTAATATGTATGACCACATGGGAAGCACCTGCTTTCAAATAAAAATATAAATAACGTCGAATTGAGAACTGTAGGGTATTGTAGGGTAATATACACATATTTACATATTTCAAGACGCGAAACAACTAAGAATGTCCCATGACCATGACCGCTGGAAAGGGTCCGAAACGTCGGAAATTTAAACGCATATTTATGTTTCAAAAATAAATGTATTCATTTTTATGTATAGAGCATTATCTCATTTGATACTAAACAAATGACATTTGGTTTAAACGATACTATTTAATACTTTCCATTATAACTTGTAAGGAATTTTTTTATTTTTTTGTTTGATGAATTGACCACAAATCCATACTAATACTACTAATATACTAATATTATAAATGCGAAAGTAACTCAGTCTGTCTGCCTCGCTTTCACGCCAAAACTATTGAACTGATTTAAATGAAATTTGGTACATAGATAGTCTAGAACCTGAGAAAGGACATAGGCTATTTTTAATTGGAAATTTATTTTAGAGAAAGATATTTATTTAAGGGCTTCAACGCGAGCGAAGCCGCGGGCGTAAAGCTAGTAAATTATAAAAAAAAAACACGGGCGGCAACCATAGACTAGCTATTATCGCGACCGAAAAAATACAACCGGTCCTCGCAAACAGTATAAAGATTACGATACAACACCGTCCAATATGTCGAAAACGAAACTGCGTAGTAGGACATAGGAAAAAAACAAACATTTGTTTTTTTTTTTAGTTCTTTTGGCGCTTTTGAAAAAAATAGGAGAAAAGTTTTAAGGAAGCGCGCGCATATCGACAGTCCTAAGGCTATACGTTGAAGTTGTTTGCTAAGCTACCAAATTCGACCAACTTCATGGTTCCCATAGCAACTTACTTAACGATACTTGTTCAAGTTTACCCATAATTCCCAGTTATTACATTAACGCCGTTTTCTGAAACACTGATCAACGTAGATGTCAGCTCAAAAATTTAATTTGCCAAAATCCATCATTTGATCATAAAGAAGCTGGTAATTCAGAGAGTTGAATACCTAAACGATGAAATCATTTGTTTCAGTTGACATCTACGGGTGTTTCAGGAACCGGGCGTAAGTCATTTAATGATCAGCTTCATTTAATGTCTTTTTCACAAACAATTTTACTGGCACACAGGTTAAGATTTTCAATTACAGTGTAAAGTCTTTATTATGCCCTTCGTTATAACGAATATAACCGGCAAAGTGTGAGTCGTACTGGCGCACTAAGGTCTCCGAACAATTTTCTATAAAAAAGGTAAACAAAAAATCATGTCTGTTATATGGGGGCCCCATATAGACATGATATTTTTGCGACTTAAATATATTTTTATTTTTGTTTTAGTTTTTGTTGTGTTAGCAACAGAAATACATCATCTGTGAAGATTTCAATTGTCTAACTATCACGGTACAGCCTGGTGACAGACGGATAGACAGACAGCGGAGTCTTAGTAATAGCCAATAATAATTCCCAAAGGGTAAAACGGTACCCTATTACTATTTAGACAACAACAGCCGTGTGCCATTCATATTCTTAGATTAAATTTTTGTAGGAAATTTTGGTCTCAGTTACTAAACGCACCAAGACATGCACAAAATACTAAAAAAAATACGAAATAAATATTTGCATAGCATTTGCACGTCAGACAAAGTTAACAGTTAATATGTGTTTAGAATATTTTACCTCAATAGTATGTTTTAAATAAAAATTATTTTTATTGGTTAAATTTGTTTATTTCCTCTCCTTTAACGAAAAAATTTATAAAGAAAAAAATTCTCGGTCCTTTGAAATTCGTAATTATAAAATAAATAATAAAGTTTGCCCTGTACTTTTCTTCTTTTACGTGCAACTTCTTACGGACGTACATAAGTACACATACTTTTTTTCATGTGAAAAGTGTAACTAGCGAGGAGGTGGTCCACCGGATTGAGGCATTACCACCACCCATGGGCGTCGCTACCACCCGCGGGGTTGAAGATGCGTTGCCAACTTTCAGAGCGTACCCCGAAAAGAGCAAGCAGTCTTCGATGATCAATAGGACACTCGCAAACTTCTCGGTTCAACAAAACTCCGTTACAAGCACTTATCTTTCTTATCCTTTAAACGAGCAATTCTTGTATATATATATATATATATATATATATATATATATATATATAATCGGAATCTCGGAAACGGCTCCAGCGATTTTCATGAAATTTAGTATGTGCGTAGATTCGGGGGCGAAAAATCGATCTAGCTAGGTTTTATTTTTAGAAAATGTCCTTTTATCCTGTCTGTTTTCAGGGAATGAAAAATATCAGTCCAATATCACAGTAAATTTCGCCGCAAAAAAATGTTATAATAGCTTGGTCGGTAATCGGGCGGTCCCAAAAAACGGCCGGATAGACCGATTTTGATGATATTTTTTATGCGCGGTTCGTATCACAATCATTTACACACTTATATTTTTTTACTTTTTTTTCTATACCAGATCATTTTCTTTATTTTTTATTCTTTTTAGTATCACTTTTTCTAGTATCACTCTCACAATAAATACGAATCAAACGACACCACTCAAGCTGAAATACATCAATCCGTTCAGGCTGCAGCGTGCCAAACAATTATACATACATACTCTCGAAAAACATAACCCTCCGTCTGGCGCAGACGGGTAAAAATTACGTTTTACAATCGTTTTTTACGTGAACATTTCGGCAAGCTACAGGGCGATTCCTCCGATTTTAAGCGGTTACCGCCACTATTGGACGTCACCTTGCTACAACCGGCAATATCACGCCAAGGTCGTGCGGAGGTCGGCAGAGATTTGACTACGTCATCCGATACAAACACGGAGGCGTTGCTCGTGATTGATAAGGGCGGCTGTTGTGCCGATAACACGAGGAAGTGTGCGAGCGAGAACCGCACACAGAGACGTCAATTAACGAGCCCAACGATCACTAAATTGGTAGTAAGTAAATTAGTATTCCCAAGTGGAGAATTATTTATGTCAAGATCTCCATAATTATATTTTTTTCTCAAGGGTACTTTTTAGGGTTCCGTAGCCAAAGGGTAAAACGGGACCCTATTACTAAGACTCCTCTGTCTGTCTGTCTGTCCGTCTGTCACCATGTATCTCATATTTAGTTGAAATTTTTACAGATGACGTATTTTGGTTGACGCTATAACAACAAATACAAAAAAAAAACATAATGAAAAATATTTAAGTGGGTTTTCCTTCCATACAACAGACATGCCTTTTTTGCCGTTTTAATAGATAATGGTACGTGAGCCTTCACGGCCGAATCCGACTAGCATTTGGACGGTTTCGTTTTCGTCATAACCACTAAATTAAACGATTCAGACTTATGTATACCGCTAATGACGAAAATAAAGGCCCATTTACACGATGCCATTTTCTTGTACATTCAAGAGCAATAATTGAATGCAATAAATTGCGCGCAATAATTTGTTAGACCATTTGTTGTTTAGACCATGCAACTCATTTATTGCTTCAATTTAATTGTATACAACAGGCAAGAAACTTGCACCGTGTAAATGGGTCTTTAGACCTGCAGAATATAAATACCGTTTTCAATAAAAAAAATCTATTGTCAATATGATTAAATTAAAGATAGATAGACTGTTACACACGTTACGTGATAGCTGTGTCCGGGCGTGCGCTTTTAATTTAAT